CCTTTGCGTTCTTGGCTGCTCGCAGGTCCTTTTCTTCTGCCCTGCCTGCCCAAACTGGGGATGGGGCAGCGCTTGACTTGATCCTCTCTAGCCCTACCGAGGAAACCGACTGTCTGCCATAAGGACCCCAACCTCCCCTGTCCCTAACTTAACCTTCCTCCTTGTTGCCTTGGCGTTGCTCCCTTCTTTGCTGGACCTCAGAGCTCCTGGTCTGCAGGAAAGGGCAAAAAAAGAAGCGGGGGGGGGGGACGGGGACGGGGACTCCCAGGCTCAACCCCTTCAATTTTCTCTCAGCTCAGACCTCCCTCTGCCCAGGCCTAGTGCCATAGCAACTTCTTGGGAGGCCACTGGCAGTAGCACTTAAGGGTAAGATCAAAGGCTAAGGCATTGGGGAATGGGAGATTGAGGGGAGGAACCTTTTCATTTTTACTGCCTTCCTTTTCCTAAGACTTGGGGAGGAAGAGGAGCAGCAGGGCCTCAAGTCTAACCTTATTAAGCTCCCTTGTTCATCTCCACCCTCCCCATTTCTGTGACTTGTTCCCCCTCATTTTCCTGCATCTTCCCCTTCAGTCAGAAGCCTGTGAGCGACTTGTTTCCCTAGTCACAAAAAAGTTCCCATCTGGAAATACGGCTAGGATAGTGGGAGGTGGCATTTAACAGGAAACATGGGGCGGGTAATCGCCGGCAGAAGCCTTGCTGAAAACCAGGAGGCAACCATATCTCATACATGAAGGTGGAAAAGGTAGGAGAACTAGGGCATATAACAATTTTGGCCAAGTTGTAGGAAACATCAGCACAAAAGTAATAGCTACTCTTTTAAATCTGTATTTAATGAGAGCTTTGTCGTTTTGGAAGACTGTGCAAAATAGCCCTAGAACTAAAGATAACTCAACTCTTTTATTGGCATTATATGTGAATAGCAGATACATGGGCTACCCAAGCTAAATATAGACCTTAATGACATTTGAAAATGGTGCGATGCTGGACCCATAATAATTGGAAAAATTATCGATCCTGGTAATACAAGAGGAGAGAAATTATTGCCTGTATGATACTGACTACGAATACACAAGTAACAATGCGAAAGGAGGTTGTCTCCATCTTCTGTCTGCAGGCTCCTGAGATCCATTTGGTGGGCCATTGTGTGAAACTGAATGCTTCCTAGGGGAACTAGGCCTGATCCAGCAGAGCTCCTGACCAAATATTACTGGTAGCAATAGTAATGAAGACCAGCAAGTAGATTGAAGGCAGCATTTTAAAATTAACCTTTAAGATGTTTGATTATGAGCAGTTCATGTTGTAATTCTCAAATTCATATGTCTATTTGCATGATAGATTGTAAATGGATTGCTATCTATTTTGGGGAAAACAAATTTGGAGGGGGGAGGGAGGGAGAGAGGGAGGGAGGGGGAGAGAGAGAGAGAGAAAGATGTCTCCAAAAAAAACTATAGCCCTAGGAAAGTGTTTCTACTCCCTTCTTTCTTATTCCAGTCCATGTCCTGAATTAAAAACATTAAGGTCAGGGAAAGAATTTAGTTGAAGGATGTTTTCCATCCAATAAATAAATAGGACAAATACCTAATTGTGGGCAATACCTAAGACAGAATGCAGCTTACAAGAGCTGAGCTGGAATGAGAACAATCAGCAGGCTTGAGAAATAGTAGCACCATCATCGTGGGAGCTTGGGATAGGAACAGCATGTGGGCACTGAGAATTTATGAAATGAAAGTTTTAATTGAAGTAGCTTCTGCTACTTGGGGAATAAATGACTTGGCAGAACCACGAGCTGCTGGTTGTGTGTGGGTCACAAACATCACTTGGGAGGCAGGTTGCATTAGCTTCAAAAGTAAGGAGGAAGGAAGAGTTGAGGGGTCCTACCTTGGTGCTCTCTGAGCTTGGTTGTTTTATTGCAGACTACGTAGTGAAATGTCTTCAAGAAAACAACCAAGCTTAGAGAGCACTAAGGATCCCTTATTTGAACCCTGAGCTACATATATTCTCTTTTATTAAAAGAAAGAATTGTTCTGCAGTAGTTTAAAGTTCTTCTCCACCAACAAATGCCATGGGGATAATCTATGACAATGATATTCAAGTGCTTAAGACAGAGCATTCAAATGACCTTAGGAGAGATCACCACCACTGGATCCTTCTGGAAGCCTGTCTGTGTATATAGTGCTATTTCATGTATGCAATTTGGGGGAGTGCTGTTTGAACTTCTATTGTTCTTCCTTGCCTTCGGCAATGCTGTGATGAAGAGCACCTATAGCAGCTATGTTTGATTTATTCTCTATATCAGGAGTCTCCAACCTTGGCAACTTTAAGGCATCTTTGCTGGCTGGGGAATTCTGGTAATTGAAGTCCACCAGGCTTAAATTTGCCAAGGTTGGAAACCCCTGCTCTATATCCCTTCCTGATCTCATCTGTTTCCTATCCATTAATTGTTTATCTTCAGTTAGATTATTAAAATGTACTCTAGGTGGGTATTTCTTTGAAGGAAATTCAGAAATTGTAGCAGATCCAGAATATGGTGGCCAGACTTTAGTCAGGAGCCTCACAGCATAAATATACTGTATGAAATTTGCTCTGGCAAAACCACATTGATTGTCCATTAATTTCCAGATTAAAATCAGACTGAAAATAACCACAGTCAAGACCTCCTCAGTGGTGGCACCATATTTCTAGAATTTCTTCCCTCTCTATGTTTGGACAACTCCCTTCCTGGTTTGTTGTAAGAAAGGGTCAAACTTCCCCCTTAGGACTTTGCTTTTCAGATTGTTAATCAGATGGTAGTTATACCTGAAGTTGTCTAAAGTTATATTACCTGCTATTTGTGGGTTTTAAATTGTGTTTTGTGGTTGAGCAAACTTTGTAATTGTAATTTTGTTTTTTATTTTTTATTGCCAACTGCTCCGCAGGCCAATTTTACTGGCAGTAAGTAGGTTTTAAGATGAAAAATAAAGGTCAACTAGATGCTTTCAGGATGCTCATTAAAAAAAAGCAGGAAGGTGATAGCTCTCTTTTCACAGTCACTCCCCAGCAGCTAATATTTAAAGCATTCTGCCTTCGGGACAGAGCAGAAACAATATTAAATATTCATTCAATTTGTCTAGCTACTTTAAAAAAAAAAAAAAAGTCTAGATTAATGGCCATCATCACATTCAGATATTAGTTTTTAAAAGAGTTTCCTTCTATTGAGCCTAACAGTCTCCAAATAATATTTAGAAAGATAGATATTTGTCTATGCACATTTTTATATCATACATGATATTATTATATACTTCTGTCACATCTCTCTAGAAACCAAAATCAATGTAATCTTTCTCTGTAGCAGAGATATCCTAGCCCTCTAATTTGTTTGGTTGCCCTTTTGTACCATATTCAGTGCTGTACTTGAGACGTAGTAACAAAACTATACTAAGCAGACTTTCATTATTTACATTATCTGTTGGCAATTCCATAATTTGTCTTTTCCTAGTTAGCATAAAATCACTTTTAACATTTCATTGATCTTTTCACTTGACCTACCCACCATGACTTCAAGATTCTCGTTGCAAGATTAGATTCTGTTAATATTTAAGTGAAATTCAGATACTTTGCTTCAGTGTTTATCACTCTGCATTTACAATACACAGAATGCATTTCTCTTCTTAAAAACCCATTCAGTTTAGAAAGAGGCCTCTGAAACTTTTTTGCAACCCCAAACCTCTCTTTGATTTTAGTACCCTGAGTTATATAGTTAGCAACTTTAATCATTTAAATGACCAGGAGTCAGGGATGAACAGTTAATTCAGGAGTCTCCAAACTTGACAACTTTAAGACTTATTGTCAGGATGGGGTAGAGGGTTGTCCCCGAACCGTGAACCAGCTCACGAGCAAACACACTAGGACTGAAATAAAACTAGCAGAGGAGTCTTGTATAAAAATATACTTTACTTCAAAATGTTTAAAAAACACTATATCTTTAAAAATGCACATTAATAACAAAGTCTTATCTTGGTTAAATGAAGCCAGGCCATCTCCCTAAATTCCTCTCCACAATACTGAAACAGTCCATAAGAAAAAACTAACATGACATTAAGCAGCTACGGTGTCGATACATCATTGAGGTGGTAGAAGGGCAGCAGCATAGGCTTCACAGCTAAAAGTCACCTGTGAAAAACAATTCAATCAGCAAACGTGGCTTGAAGCTCCTGGGAGGGGAAGTGTCCAGCTCTTCCTCCGATCGTAGCTACAACAGCAGCAACAGTTCAGATGTTGGCTTGCATGCTTCAACTCAGCAAAAGGAAAGCCGAAATTGGAAACTTCAAAAGGCTCTCGGCTATCTCAACTCACAGTTGCAGCTGGCTCCATGGGAGTATCTTTACACAGCTCTTTGGCTCCTCTTCTGCTGCAGCCGTCAGGACTCCTTATCCGAGTTCTCCTCCCTTCTGCAGCTCTGCATCCAGGTGCTTCAGCACTGGCTCTGCATCTAGGCCTAAACAGTGTCTAGGCCCAAATAGCAAGCAGAAAGGTCTGTGCTTATATGGGGAGTTAACCTGCAATTAACTAGGGCGGGGAAGGCTTGCAGTTAATTGCAAACAGGAGATGGCTTGATTGGATCCATATTGTTTGTAGCTGATCAAGTAGCTACAGCAATCCTGAAAACACTCGTGACACTTATGGACTTCAATTCCCAGAATTCCTCAGGCAATTGTGCTGGGGGAAATTCTGGGAGTTGAAGTCCCACAAATCCTAAAGTTGCCAAGATTGGAGACCACTGAGTTAACTGCTCCTCCCTGACTCCTGATTATTTAAAACATGTTTTTTTTAAATATTGATCACCATATAGATCCTTGGGATATTGTTTCTCCCTTCAATTTTATTGTTTGCTCCTGGTTTAACTGGTTAATCCATGGGAGACATTGCTGTCCTCATCCAAGATTGTTAAATTGTTCAGTTTCCTCTCTGCTTTTATGTGCATTAAAATGAGTGACCAAAATGTTCTCCTAGCTGAATCCTGTTAATCTATCATACTCTGGGCATTTTAAAGAGGTTTGCACAGGACTTTCCAGAACACTGCAATGGATGGACCAAAACTGCATTGCCACTCTTCATGACACATAAAATCTACTAATCAAAGAAAGAAGCAAGGTAGAACTAAGGAGAAATTTCCTAACAGTTAGAACAATTAATCACTGCAACAACTTGCCTCCAGAAGTTGTGAATGCTCCAACACTGGATGTTTTAAAAAAGATATTGGACAACAATTTGTCTGAAATGGTATAGGGTTTCCTGCCTGAGCAGGGAGTTGGACTAGAAGACCTCCAAGGTCCCTCTCAACTTTGTTATTCTGTTACTAGCTTGCCATGTATTACAGTAGGAAGAAAAATAGTTGGGCCTTATCAGACTCTAGGAGAAGATTGAGAGAAGTACTTAAGAAATAGAATTTAGGATGCTTTTCCTCTTCACTAGAAGCTTTCACAAAACTGTTTTGGTTTGAATTTTCCTGGGGTGCAAAAAGCAGATTACAATAGATCCTTATGCCATGCCATGTGATTGAATTCAGTCTTTCAGTGTTGTATTGATCCAGTGTTATAACACAATAGTTTTTCTTCTCCATTACCTACTCATTTGTGTGGGTGGATGAGTTGGAATGGTTTCTGTGAGGGCAGGAGAATAGACAGGAAAAAGGTATCTTCTTGTGTTTTTTTTACATTTTTCCTTTTTCTTCTTTTTACAGTACAACTGGTTCTATAAACTCTAACTGGCCAAGGAACTTGGGGAAATGAAAACGTTTCCTGCAGTTGTTGATTGGGTATCTATGGATTCCAAACCAGAGGACAAGGTTTGGTGGATAGCCAGCCCAAGTGCCTGGCAGAAAAGCAAAGGAAGTTGGTCATGTGTGGTCATTCGGGAGCTCTCTGATCAACGGCTCAGTGGTGCCTTGTAAAAGTCAAGACTTTCATCCTGCTTCCAAGTGAACTCTTCCAACCCTGTCCCCCAAGAACCCTTTGTTAAATTTTAATTCATCTTGGAGAGGCAACGTCAAATGTGATTACCGATAAAAGTTAATTTTTGAAGATAGAGAAAGCAAAGCAACAACAGAAGAAAAGATGGCAACAGGGAAAAAATCTTTATCCTTTATTTACTTAGTTTTCTTAAGATGCACTGTTAATTGACGCATATTTGGTGGCAGCTTAATTTTTTTAAAGGAAATTGCAGCAGTCATCTGAATGATAAAACAAATAGCACAAATATATAACACGCCCAAAAACTATTATCCAAGCCTACAGTAAATCAGCAATTATACAGATCAGCAATTTAATACATGGAACATCAAGGTACCTTATATTTTCCCCCCCAAAAAAAACATGCGGGGCAGACATAAGTTAATATCCTTATGTAGAAGCTGTTCAGTAATAGTGGGCTTTCCTTTTAAGAAAATATAGGAATCCTACAGCTCACTGAAGATGCTAACTTTCCTTGAAAACAAAGCAGTGTCTTCACAGCAAATAAGAGCAATTCAGTTTTGTGTTGTCATGGCCTAGTTTTTGCTCTGTACAAATCATTTTTTCTGGAATAAATATATTTTTCTTTAAAAAAGAGAAAATAATCAAAAGAAAAAAGAGATGGATCAGAACCATGTCAGAGAAACATATGGATCAGAACACTGTACAGTAATAAAAAAGTAGGTGAAAAGAACAACAAGGAGTGAAGAAAGACATTGTATGCACCTCATGGCAATAGCTAGACTTTTTTTCTGCATCCCTCTCCTGTTTAGGAGATAGCCACGGAAGTAATCATTGGGTTCTCTCTTCTGTGTGGATTCATATCCCAGGAAGGAGGCTGCAGAATGAATCGTGGAGGTGACAGCAGCTCCATGGAGGAACTATCCAAAGCTACACTGCACATTAACTCACTTTGGTGGCTGGCTTGTGGGCTTCTTGCGCTGTTAGCCAACTCCTGGATAATCTTGAGCATCACAGCGAAGCAACAGAAGCACAAGCCCCTGGAGCTCCTGCTCTGCTTTCTGGCAGGGACACACATCCTCATGGCTGCTGTGCCACTTACAACTTATGCAGTGGTGCAGCTGCGACGTGAATCTTCTGACTATGACTGGAACGAAAGCATTTGTAAGGTCTTTGTCTCTACCTATTATACATTGGCCTTGGCCACATGCTTCACCGTGGCTTCTTTATCTTATCACCGTATGTGGATGGTAAGATGGCCAGTCAACTATCGGCTGAGCAATGCCAAGAAGCAGGCTCTGCATGCTGTGATGGGCATCTGGATGGTCTCCTTCATTCTTTCTACCTTGCCATCCATTGGCTGGCATAACAATGGAGAGCGTTATTATGCCAGTGGCTGCCAGTTTATTGTCAGTAAGATCGGCTTAGGCTTTGGTGTGTGCTTCAGCTTGCTTCTTCTCGGAGGCATAGTCATGGGCTTGGTGTGTGTGGGTATAACTTTCTACCAGACGTTATGGGCACACCAAAGGCATCATAGATGCCATCACCAAAGAACAGAAGATGCCTCTTCTTGTCCTTCTTCAGTTCACAACACTTTCAATGTGCCAGCCATTGTAGTAGAGGATGTCAGAGGCAAAAGAAGATCATCACTGGATGGATCTGAATCTGCTAAGACTTCCATGCAGATGACCAATCTCATCAGCGCCATTGTTTTTCTGTATGACACGCTGACTGGTGTACCCATTTTGGTAAGAAATATCCCTTCCTATTTTTGACCTGTTGTTTTGGAGGGTCTCTAGAAGGCAAAAATCCAGTTATGAATCCTTAATTTCTGTTAGGACTGACACAACCGAAATCACTTTAACAAAGCAGTTTCCCCCACTTTGCATGTACAAAGACATTTCCTGAAATAAAGACATTTAACATTCTGAAATAGAATGATAACGAGATTTTTTGAGTATGTTTCAAATCTAAGTCATTTTTCATTATCTCTTTAAAATTATCCATTCCTGGCAAAAATTGTATACCTCTCAGAGCCCCTGTATGAGGGAGATGGACGGTTAAGTAGATAGATAGATAGATAGATAGATAGATAGATAGATAGATAGATAGATAGATAGATAGATAGATAGACAGACAGACAGACAGACAGACAGACAGATTCATTTATAGTGTTCAGGGACTGTGTATATCAGTCATAAATTATGTCCTTAGGTCCAGTTCCTAAACATGCACTACACTAATACCAAACACCTTAATAGTATTTCAAAAGGAACCTATAATTATATACCAAGTAGGGCAGGCGGGGGATGGTGGACAATTACGTAATACATGGACGGCTTTGAGGAGTATGCCAGAAGTAACATTGCAAATTAATAAAATAGTTAATATTACATTTTTGGTACATTTTTCTGTCTTGTTAAAAATTGTAATTGGTGGCCATCTCTGGAGAGATCTGGGGATTTCACTCAAAGCTTTGGGGGCTCTTGGACCACATGTGGTACTCAGGTGCCTTGTCCATGGAAGACAGGTCATCCGGCATCAAGGTTGGATGCTCTAATCAAAATTGTGTTCTGGGTGTAGTAATTTATTTTTCATTATAAAAGTAAATAGATGTCATGGGTGGATAAAAAGGAAATACAGATATTTTGGGACACTTTGGGGGGGGGGAAGTGCTTAATCTGTCTTAATGTCTTTAACGCCATTCTGATCTCCTCTCAGCAGTGCTGTAGAGTATATCTTAATTAATTAATGGGAAGCACTGATAATCCACTGTATGTATATGCCTTTTGAGATATATAGTCTTATTGCAAGTTTGATGGTTTCATTCATGCTGGACAAAAATGTTTGAATCTTGGGGGCTATTTATTTCTATACATATGTCTAAGAAACCAGGGCTAGATAAAAGTCCATATTTATTGGTAGACCACCTGATTGACATGTGCTAGATCAGCAATTATTTAACAATAAAAATAATGAAATTCCTCTATTCTAAATCCTAATGCTAATGTGAAACAAATCTGAGCAGGTGGCAGCACTCAGCCAACCTTGACAGATGGCAGAAGATAAATATTTGGCCAGAGGTAGTGCCTGGTGATGCCAGGATTGTTGGTTAGACAGCGAAGTAAAAGAAAACCTAGAAGAAAACTATAGAAATTCACTTCTGTTATATTGCTAAAAAGACTGCATGGATGTAGTATCATTTGCTTTAAGATGCTTTAAGGTGTGGCTGAATTCTAAATTAAATGTTTTAATAAGTGCTTTGTCATTTTATTTTTTGAACTTTTTTTTTGAATTTTTTTTAAATGCATGGGTTGTTTTTTACATGTATTTCTCACTCATAGTAGAAAATCCCTGCATTTATCTCCAAATATTCCTTGTCATTTTTTCAGAAATTCCAGACAGTCAAAAGATAGAGCAAAGATAACCCTTTACAGCTGGGGGGGGGGTTCCCCACAATTTCAAGACAAACCTGAACTGTGTTTTTTTTTATGCCATGGTTTTACAGATCACTTTTAAGAGAACACAGCACAGAATTCCTTTACCACCCTTTAAGAGGGTGGTAAGAATAAAAAATATTGCAATTGTCAATTTCAATTTATTTCTTGAATTTTCATTCACAATTCACATTTACTGAATTTTTTTTCTCATCCAGCCTAACAGAGTTGCCAATAATTAAAGAAAAATGCCAGCAAACTTGACAGGAAACATTACTAAATGGATCTACTGTTAATTGGAATTTTGGAATAATATAAAATGTTTTTTTAAAATATCAATAGTATTTTTTAGGGTATAGATATCCATGGAGGTTATTTTTAGCATTGATCTGTAGAGGTCACAAGTATTATCTGGTGCTTGTAACATCTGTGCAATCATGTGCCATACATCATTTGAGAGAATTATACATAATTGTTTAATTTTTGCAACAACCAATACATTGCTATTTAAAAGCTATGGGGAAAACAGTATTTTCTCCATAGAGATAATTATTAAATCCAGCAGAATAAATGAAAACTGCAGACTTCTTTTGTAAAGAAAGAATGCAGAAAAAGTAACCAGAGTAACTGAGTATGACCAGAGTAACTGAGCTATTAGACTTTTCTGTAAGGCAATTACCGTATTTTTTGGAGTATAAGATGCACTTTTTTACCCCCAAAAAGAGGGTGAAAATCTGGGTGCGTCTTATAGTCTGAATGTAGCCCTGCCCAGTCTCTGAAATGGAGGTTTCAGAGGCTGAAAAAAGCTCTGAAACCTCCCTTTGAGAGGCTGAAAAAGCAAGTGCAGAGCTCACAACCAACGAACCTGTTGCTAAAGTTCACCTCTGGGAAGAACTGTTTGTGGGTATTCCGGGAGACCGATCCACCTCCAATCAATTTTTTTCTTATTTTCCTCCCCAAAAACTAAGATGCAACTTATACTCCAGTGGTGTCTTATACTCCGGTGCGTCTTATAGTCCAAAAAAAACGGTATCCTGCCCTTTGCTGATGTCACTTGATCAGCTCTTGCTGTTTACTTGATGATAGCAGTAATTAGCATCATTTTCTTTTAAAAAATAATAATGCTGTAATGTGTTATAAGACAATAGCCAGCACATACTGAAATTATTTTCCAGACATACAATTTCAGCTTCTGCATATAGTGAACTAGCCATTAGGAAGCTGTTTGCCAAAAAGTATTTGTGAGCGTTTCCCTTCCCTTGTAATGCTGGAGTAGAAAGCAGACAATGATTTTAAAAGTGTGTTGAGGTGGTTGCATTTCCCACAATACCTGTTTATGTTTAGCTGTGTTTTCACCGATTCGACTGCTTGGTTTTTTGAGAATGTTCCATTTGCAAAGCCTATCAGTTCTCTGAATGTTAAAAGAACACGAGTATCATTCCTGTTTTAGCGGTCTGAGAAATTTTCTGATAGTCTCTGGAGTGTTCTGTCATGAACAGGGAGCCAACTGTGGAATTTTACCCACACCAACTCTTATCTCTCCTTGTTTTAGGTGGTCAGCTTCTTCAGCCTACGCTATGACACTGCTCCCACTTGGATGGTGCTGGCAGTGCTCTGGTGCTCCATGGTGCAGACGCTGCTACTCCCATCATTCATCTGGTCTTGTGAACGTTACCGGGCAGATGTCCGGACTGTCTGGGAACAATGTGTAGCAATAATGTCAGAAGATGATGGGGAAGACGGTGAGCAACCTACCCACTTCAGTCTTTGTATGATATATTGAGGAAGCTTCATACTGTGGAGGGGGGGGGGAATAATCACAAGCTTCAAAGGTGTGAAGTGTGAGATCAGCAACCAGAATTAGGTATCCTTTCAGGAGATTCATCAGAGGAGCAGCTATCTTTTTATCTGTTGCAAATTTGCATATTTTAGATGGCGTTTATGTGTCTGTCTTCTCACAGAGTGCCACCTTAAATAATTCCTAAAATTACAATGTGTTCCACAGAGGAAAATAAAATAGTTCCTTACTTTACCTTAGTTTTAAGGATGAGGGCTACGTTAACATGTTATTAACAGTTTGCAAGTTATTAGAAGCTTTATACTTGCCCCCTTCAATATGCACAATCGATTTCATATCCAATCCTGTCATTTCCATATCCAGGACAGGGAAAAGAAGGCAATAGGTCTAGAGAGTAAATCCTTATTCCTAGAAGCCTGGAGGCCAGTCCGTTTCTGCAATTATAAGCAGTCAGGTACCAAGATGGAATTTAAAAGACAGCATTGCCATTTGTGGCATTCTCAATGTTAAAATATATGACAACATGTTACTGAAATCAAATTGTAGAAAATCAATTGATCAGATGACATCAACTAATATTCAGGTAAAATATCTGAAAGATCAAACTTACACAGGTGCTTTTTTTAGTAACTAACATTAGAGTCCTAATCTAGAACGTGATTCTAGTCACATTCAAGGCATAACCCTTATTTCATTTTTTCCCTAGCACATACCCTGTAGGTAGTTGTATACTGAGTCAACTATCTTAAGAGCAACTATCTTGCTCTTAACTGCATATATTAGTTACAGTATATGCTCTTAAACAACTACTAGATTACTACAAATCCGGAGAAAGAAATGCTATCTCTGCATTTCTGCTGTTCTTAATAGATCAATACCAGATTAGAACACTGTAGGCCTATGCCTCTGTCTGAAGCTTCATCCCATGATCTTTCCCCAAATTGCTGAGCTGCATGTGCTGATTAAAGGTTAGGAATGATGCTGACCCTATAAGCATCTTCGACAACCAGCTCTTAATCTGGATTTGGACATCCAGTAAAATTATAGAATAGATTGCAACATTAGTCCTAGTAGTAAAATAAATTCACATTTGCACCAAATGAGACAAGAATTGCCTCCAATCGTTCTACCCAAGAATAGTCATTTAAGCAGGAAATCAAGGAACTGAACATAATCCAGCTTGTTTATTGCTTAGGTTTCTCAGCAACCTCTCTTGCATACATAGCATACCTTTTAACAGCACTAAAAAGAGTTTGGAATATATCATGGACTATTTATTGCAAGCTATTAACAAAAGCAGGTCTGTACTGTGAAGTGTAGGACTAGTACAGCACAATACAGACTTAGAACCCTAGGTGGGTAAAATATTTTTTAGAAACCAACAACATAGCCTTGATGATTTTTTAAAAAAAAACATTTTTACTAAGTTATAAAATATTATATAATACAAAATACAAAAGTAAATAAAAGAGCATTGAGGTGGGAGGGGAAAGAGAAGTGAGCCACAATGACTTTCAAATGATACCCTGCCATGCCAATGTGCAGATGTGCTTTCTCTGTGCTGAGGACGGAGATGTGAAGGGGAGACCTTTGAGTCTGAAAGGGGTTTTTAGCTCTCCTGTTCTCCTGTATAGATGGCCCTGGTGATGATTATGGAGATGGGAGGATCTGCAAGGTGCGATTCAATGCCAATGGTGCTACAGCCATGAAGCAGGATCCTAGGGATGTTAAGCTGCTGCCGGTGCACCATATGCTGTTGCCCCACGACAGGGTACATTATTTGCAGGTAAGCTGCCTGCTCTGAGTGATAATTGGTTACAACTACCATATGAATAAAGAGCCAGCGTTGTTAGTAAAAATACTGACCTGCAGATTCTAGTCCACCTGCAATTATGGAAGTCACTGGGTGACTTTGGAACAGGCAGTCTCAGCCCAGTCTACTTGACGGTTGCTATTGTGGGGCAAAGTAGGAAGAGGGATTGCTTTGCACGCCACCATGAGCGCATAAACAAACAGGATAGAATAGCAATAGCAAAAGCACTTATATGCCACTTCACAGTGTTTTACCTCTCTAAGCGGTTTACAGAGTCAGCATATTGCCCCCAACAAACTGGGTTCTCATTTTACTGACCTCAGAAGGATGGAAGTCTGAGTCAACTTTCAGCCGCTCAGAATTGAACTCCTGGAGTGAACAGTGAGTTAGCCTCAGTACTGCATTCTAACCACTGTGCCACCACAGCTCTATTGTGTATTGTGTATCAGAAACCTGATGCACAAAAAAATAAATTACACTTCTAAATATATGCACATGGTCTTCTATTAGACTGAGTCAGTCCATGTATAACAGGCCAGTATAGCCTAACCATGTTCTCTTAGATTCAAAGTACTGTATTGCAACAACTCACTATCCTTTGTATTTGGGGAAAAGTTTATCTCCCGTTCTTTATAATACGGTAAGCTAATATGGTAAATTGGATTGAGAGACTGGCCCAAAGACATTTAATAGATGTTATGGCTAATTAGATTTGAACTGAATCTTCTTTTCTAAGTAGAATTTCAAAACACACGGCATCGATCTTGAACTCAAAAACTGGATTCTGCTTTTGATTCTATAATTTACTGGAGGCTTTTTAGGAAGACAATGGATAACCATTTGTATGGAAAGGTATAGGTTCTCCTGCTTGAGCAGGAGGTTGGACTGGATGACCTCCAAGGTCCCTTCCAACTCTTATTTTGTAATTTACTTCATAATTAGAGACTTGCTAAAAACTAAATGGGTTTTTATTATTTCTGAGAATACCGAGGCATTTAAACTTATTAGTTTGATGAATGTACATAGTTGACCTGTTTTCTAAGCTAGTTGCTTTTATAAGGGGGCATTAGTAACTAACCAAAGAGTATTCCCAGTTTGATGCCAAACTGCTATGTGATAATTATGGGTGTATTTTCACAATCATCTGGAGAAAGACATTTAAATATAGAGCTTTTTTAAAAATTCGTACTGTGTAATCCACACACCCTCCCATCTGTTTCTACATCTCTTGTAGGAATATGGCACAATTTTCCTCCAAGCAGCTGAGCTATATGCAATAATTCATGTTTGTGTGTTTAGGGAACATCATGGGAAAAAAACAATTGGGAGGTTGATGTAGCACTGCAGGGAAATATGGTAGAAGCTTTATCCGCTCTACTTAAAAATGTAGAACTGAGTTGAACTGGGGAGCTACTCCTCTAATTATTGAACATATTGGAAGATTAACATTCCAGAGTAATGTGGATATGGTAGCTATTCCAGCTTTCCTTTTATAATTGAATTTTATGCCCAGAAAAGGGGTATCTGAGAAATCACCGAAGGACCCCCATCTGGATTTTTCTAAAATTCCTTGAAACTACAAATTGCAAAATGAAGCCCTTGAATAAAACCACCATTAGAGAATGGTGGTTCAACAAGGTACTTTCCCCCATTTCCCCAAATACTTAGTATAAGAAAGCATGTATAGGAGGAGGGGGGAGAGAGAACCAGGATGGGAATTACATTTTTTGTAAAACAGCATTATGAGCAGAGGGTGCTATTTGTTATACTCACATAAAGAACAATTAGGAAATTCAAATAACCAAACACTTCAAAGCAAATATATCTGACAGGTGCCTTCTCTGATCTTCTCCATCTTGAGATGGTTTTTGCATGGTGAGAAAAGAGAAAAGAGAGTTAGCAGTCTAACTGCATTGAAAAAAGTAAATATCTTTGCATCAGGCATTCTAGCCAATTAGTGGGGAGGCATTGGAGTGATTAACAAATTCTTGAGAATCTTTTCAGTTTCATACTATTAACATCTGATTAAAGAAAATTCAAACTTTATTACTTTAAATACTTTACCATGGATCCCTTATGACATCTGCCTGTGAACCATCTGGGACTTGTTATATAAAGAGAAGAGAGGAATATGCTAGGTAGTTCAGATTTCTTTCTTTCATTTAGACTCCTAAAATGTTTAAGCTATTGGACATTTTTATCAATGGAGAGCAATCTATATTCTTCAGCTGTTGTTTCTCCACTGACTTTCCTTTCAGGTTCCTATCTCCCGGAGGATGTCTCATGATGAAACCAATATCTTTTCCTCCCATCGTTCAACTCCTTCCTTCCTTCACAAGTGGTCCTCATCTGATGACATTCGGGTGGCTGTTCCACACAAACATGGAGGACCCTCCAGTTTTCTGCCTCCAGAGTTCCGAAGCTACCATCCCCGTCGACGTTCCCCTGAGGATGAGTTCACTACACTTCGGCAGTTTCTAGAAGCTGGAATGGCTCGGGGACCTGGACCTGGCTCCAGTGCTTGCTTCTTCCGTGATGAGATTACGACCTTTATTGATGAAACACCGGTGCCCTCCCCTCACAGCACCCCACGCCACTCACGCCTCCCATTCACAGTACAGCGTGAGAGGCACCATTCCCTAAACGGTGCAGAACTAGAAGGCCCTGATAGGAATCAACAATGTTCATTGACTGATGGTGAAAGTCTATACCTCTGTGCTGGAGAACAGGGGCCTGGCAAATGGACCATGGCAACTCATGGGGCACAATCCTTGCAGGAAGTCAGCCTATACAATGGTACCAAAGGCAATAGCTCTGCTGTGGATTTTTAAGGAAATCCCAGAACTCAAAATTTAGGCTCCCATGTTTTTTCTTGATACTCCAAGAGGACGGGAGTTATGCCATAAGGGAACCTGATATGGAGGGGAGAATAGTAGTGAGAGGGTAGAAAAATGTCACGGCTGGAGAGCACAATGGCATCCTGCTCTCAGTGGACAACTTGAATTCAGATCACCCTAGATAACTGAGGGCACTCTTTATCTTTGGCAGCGTTGTTAACACTATCCATTTCGCAACTTTCTTAGCTCCACTCATGAGAGAAAAAAAATAGGGTGTGGTGAGAAGGAATATATATATATATATATATATATGGAAGGTATATTCCATATATATATATATATGGAATGTCACGTGTCTGGTTTTTGTTTTAGTGTTAATTAATCATGTTTTTGTGCTATTAAAGTGATTCAGGCTACAAACAGATATGTACTTAGCTGGAAATTAGTGCCCCTAAAAACTACAGGACACACCACAAAGGTATATAAGAGAGTGCTGTCATCAAGTGCTTAGTAAGTCTTAGCAGGAGAAACTGAGAAGAATCACCCTCAGCTAACCTTACCTACCAATGAAGTGCATTAAATGTGAAAAGAGGAATCACTTGCAGTGATCATGAAAGTGTTTATCATGCATTCCAATGTTGATTGATTGATTATGGGCTATCAAGTCATTGTTGACTTCTAGAGACCAGTAGCTCACACGTAATACTACAACAGTTCTTACAGTGGGTCTCTTGGAAAGCATTATCATCCATACATTACAGATGAGAAGGGCTAATGGGAGACATAAAAATGTTCAAGAATGAAATGGACAGTCACCATCAACAGAGACTGATGAAAGAAGGATTTCATTAGATCTTTGAAAGCTATCTTTTATCATTATTCTATCACAGATGCAAACATGAGCAAAGCTAGTGCCAAAAATTGGAAGAAAGATACTACAAACAGCTGAACTTGTCTGGGTTCATATATTCAGAGTTTATTTTTATGCCAGATCTATCCCCAGAGGGTAGTAGTTAATTCAGGGGAAAGGGAAGAAGGGATTTGTCTAGTGTTGTATTCACAGTTGAAGTATTTCCAGATGATGCTTTTAGTGTGCAGTTAGAATTTTATGAAGGTGAAAATGTTATTTTCCATCAGTCAGTTTTCCATGTTTCCTACAACTATTTTTTACCAAAGAAAATGCATTAAGAAAGATGGAATAGTGGCATGGTGCCTTTTGACTGGTACTACTTAAGAGACAACCATTTGGGGACATTGAGTGTGGATATATCATGCCTTGTTCACTTACATTTTGTTGGTAATGGGGGAACATATATATGTGATCCACCTATGTTGTAGCAGATGGTAGCAACTATCTGATTTTGACTGATATCCCCCAAAAGCTAAACAGAGTTGGATCTAGTTAGTAATTAGATAGAAATTACCAGGAAGTGCTAGTAGTCTAGACCGGGAACTCATCAAACATCATAGAAGATAGCTTTTGTAAACCATTTGATTCTTATTCCTTCCTTTTACTTCTAATGATCTTGATCTTTAGTCCCTTCAAATAATCTTGTGGAACTTGATTTCATTTTTTTTTCTTTATCCCTTCTCACAAAGTTCTTTAAAGCTTTTACAAACCTCTTTTGTAAATCCATAGGAAAAATATCCAGGATTTCTCTTAATTAAAATGGATATACAAATAACAAATTACGACAATCAGTTGTTTTTTTGTATGTCCAGTGTAAGATCTTTTTCCATATCATTCTTGTAGCCTATCATCTTTAAACCCACTTTCAAATCAGTCTCAAACTTGTCAAGTAAAACCTTCCATCACATCTTATTAAACACGGTTTATAATGACACTCTTAAAATTAACTTCTGCATCCATTCTGCATCCATTCAAAAATAACTGTCAATGTGTCCAGTGTTAATTTTGTTTCATTCTGTAATTGTAAATTGAATTTGAGATTTCTCCTTTAATTGTAATTTTTAGTTCCCTCTAGTATCCAATTTTTAAAGTCTTACTTATCTTGAAAATTCAGTTTTGAAAAAAATAAAAAAAAGCATTTTCCTATGGGAAGGATTCTTTAGAATTAATTCCAAAACCGAATTTCATTTGTGCTTAGTCCACTTAGTTCATTTGTAACTTTCTAAAATTAAAGTTTTATTCACCTTTTGCTGGTTATTCCCCCTCCCCAATTTATGTAATTCTTGAACTTGTAGTTAAAACTTCTTTTGTGAAGGATTTTAGGAAGACTGATCTGATGTGTAAAATCTGTTTGATCCAAAGATCCCTAATAGCTAAAAAGCAATTAAACAGAAATTAAGCAATTTCTGAAAATGATTAGAAAGGTAGTATGTAATCTTAGTGTCCTTGCAAAGCTGCCAACTATGGCTTGAGCAAGGTGACTCTTTTCTTGTTTTCCAGAGCTCTCAACCCATCAGACATTCCTGTCTTGGTCTCCTTGAGGGGAGCAGATGTCTGGAGCACTTGTGGGTGATCTCAAGTTCACTCTTTGAAGAGGAAATATCAAAGAGCCAGTGTACTCACCACTCTACTGTGGTTGTTAGCTCCACTTTTTGCAGAGCTATCTTCAGACTGTCATTTCCTCGGAAGTCACAAATAGGCCTTTTTCTGAACAGATGCTAGCCAATCATCTCTCTTGTGTTTTCTTGGACTCAAAATAACCTAATCACTTCTTCTACATTATTTCATCTCAGCCATCAATTCATATCATCAGGGCCGGATTTAGATGAAAAGAGGCCCTAGGCTATTCCACTTATGAGGCCCTTTCACCTATAGTGAAAGTGTAATTTTAATTTTGCTAACAAGTTGAATGTAGGCCCCTCTTGATCTTGAGGCCCCCTCTTGATCTTGAGGCCCTAGGCTGAAGCCTAGTTAGCCTATAGGAAAATCCGGCCCTGCATATCATCTAGCATTAATACCTTTTCCTCAGGACTGCATTTATTTAGAAAGTTGCTAAGTTTTTCCCCAAACTAACCCCCGATTCTACCATTATCAATATTCATTAGAACACACTATCACCAACCTATGAATTCTTATTGTCATATGGACAACAAAGTAAATGATACTGGTTCATTTTTTCTTACATACATTTTATTTGCAATTCACAGTGAATTCTGTAATTGTTTTCATTACTTCCCCACAATCAAGCTACCTTCATTCAAATTTATTATATCCTTCCCCTTTCTCTTAAGTTTCACAGGCACATCATGTGTCTTTTTTCTTTTATCAATTTCATTCAACAATGCACTATCTGTATCATTTACACTACAAATCACAATATTTCATATGCCACAGTTGTCACTAGATAAACCCATAATTACTGATATCTACTACTATTGTGGCTTTCACATAAGCTTTCACATAACGGGTTACCAATAAAATAATGTGTTCCAGTCAGTTTAGCTCATTTAGGATAATATGCCACTAGTATAATCAAAGCCCAATTTTCTTCCAATTTACACTATTCCAAAAACCTATTCCATGGATTTTTAAATGAAAGACTATCTTACAAGTCAGCAAACTGTTACAGTTACTCACAGGTCACCAACTAAGAGATACTTAGTTTACCGATGGCCACTCAGAATGTGCTAAATACTGTACAGGGATATCAAAGTTTTGTTCACATTCTTAATAGTCCTGGAGAGTATTTAATTTGAAACACCTGCAACTGGTCTTAGGAGTTAGTGTGATATTTATTAAAAAAAGACGGAACTTCAACCACACTGTTGTAGTCACCATCTTGACTTTTTTTGACCATGTCACTTAGATATCTCCTACTTAATTTCTACTTAGTATTTTCCTTGATAGATCAGGAACAAATGTCTGCTTTCCTCCACCCACAACATGTAAAAAACTCAAATCTATTGACCTAGGTGCCTGTTTTTCACATGGTAATGAACTGACTCATATTTTTAACCTTATCTACCATGTTAACAATCTAGATACCTATGGGTAGTAAGAAAAAAACCCTCTGTTAATCCAGCTGTAATATATTGGGAGGCAACCATGCCTACTGATGAGAAATTCCCATTTAAAAAATGACCGCTAATAGACACCAGTCAAACTGAATCTTCTGACATATTCAGGGAAGATCTTAGTCCTTCTGCTAGAAGCCTCTCCTGCCCTCCATCTCTAAAGGGCAAAACTTACAAATGCATGAGATTTTCTTGTCCAAACCCAGAAATGCCAAACCTTATAGAAAACCTTATGTGTACCCTAAAAGCTCTAGTGATAGCTGTACAACCTTCTGCCCAAGGAAGATTTTAATGAGAATTTTGGAATACACAGAAGAAATTTAAGAGGAAGAACACTGGAATGTAATAAGTACACATATAGAATTGCAAATAAAATTCATAAAGTTAGTTTAAATGTGTTAGACTTGCATGAATAATTCAGGTTCCAGAATATATATAAAATGTATTACAGAGAAGATGAATAGAGAGCCACATCTGGGCTTCCTGTTGGATGGCAAGTTGTTAACATTGTTCTTTGGGTAAAGCACATGTCTTGCAGTGTAAAAGCCACCTTAGGAAGACATCAGTTAACTGTCTTGTACAGTCAAGTTATTCTAACTTCAGTGTTCCAACTGGTGAAACAAAAAATTATCTTTTAGTTAAACCAACTTTCCAAATTGTCTTATACATAAATGATAAAGCAGTTAAGTTTCACTGATTAAAGCATTAGATTGAATAATAAACTGGAGGTATATTTTGGGAAATAATAGCTGAGTCCTGCTCTATTTAAACTCCTAGCTGGGTTCAATTTATCTGGGAGCACCTCAGCCAAAAGTTAGGGATTTGTCAGAGAAAGCTGACCTCCTGCTATATGCAGCTCCAGTAAGAGTCGCCTTTTTGGTGAGAGGACCAACATCTCTTGGACTTTGGCCAATATGGCATTCTACATCATTATCTGTCATTCCAAAAGGAAAGTAGCCACATCCATTTATTCAGAATGGAAATTAAATAAATGGAAAGTGCACAACAGTGAGGAAAAAGAAGAAGCAAGGTCACATAAGGAAATACATTTCAGAAAATTCCTATAGGGAAGGCATCCTGAAGATGGTGAACATAATTGAAATTGTGCTGTTTTGAATAGTGGTGGTAATGTCTACTAAAGCAGGGTTTTTTCTGACAACCTCCTCAAAAAGGACATTTTACTGATCAGAAAACTGCAGAAAGGGGCAATCAAAATCATTAAAGAATTGAAAGAACTTTCCTATGAAAAAGATTAATGCTTTTTGACAGAGAAAAAACAAATAAAAGAGGACACACAAGAGAGGTATATAAAATAAAATGTACCGGTATGTAGCTCAGGACTGAACTGTGCTGTCCTTGGTATCTCTAAGCTTGACTGTTAGCTTGCAGTTGTTTCATTACCTGACTAGGTAACATCATCAGTGCAAGTGATTGTGGGGTTTGCTCTTTGTTTATATACAGTTCAACTTCCCTCCTTAATAGGTCCTCGATTATGCAATTGTGTTCTGCTTCATTGTTTGGTGTTAATCCCCACTTATTGGTGTATCTGGTTGCTGGAACATGTAGCAGACTTCTTACTCTTTCAAAATACTAGGTCTTGGGGTCATCCAATGAAGCTAAATGGTGCATGATTCAGAACTGATTAAAAGGAGCATTTCTTCACAAGGTGTATATTCATAGAATGACATTCGCGGAAAAAAGAGATGCAGAGATATTCATCAGAAGGTTCTTTTTTTAGAGTAAGTATTATGCAAAATGCAGAAAGAAATAAGAAATTAAAGGTAGCAATTCACAGAAAAGGAAATATGGCTACAACTTATTGTATTTACTTATATTTCATATTCTAAACTGCCCATCTCCCTCAGAAAGGGCCTCCTTCACACCAAACTGTTCATGTATCTTTCTTACTTTCCAACTCTGTCCAACCATGATTTTCTAGTCATTCCCCTTTTTCTTGATCTGTGCACTCTTCATTCAGATAACTATTTTGCAATTTAATCCTCTTCATTTTCTCTGGACAACTAATGCATATCAACCAGCCTCTCTTCTACAGGTCACTCATGCCTGTGCTCAGTCCACATTCATTCAGTACCCACTCATTCTCGACTGTAGTATCTGTGTCCAACAACAGTTGTGTGTACATATTAGGTGGCAGAATAAGGGCAACAGTACACTGGCTTGTAAGATAGCTTCTGCATAAGAAATCTTAGCTTGCATTGAACAACATGAAGTAAAACACAGCTTGTTGAACTTGTGGCAATGTGGCATGATATCAGAAGGAAGACCAAGGTTGTTCCTCTATACAAAGGAGATGAGTGCAAAAACTACAGGTGGATTCATTTGTTACATGTACTTGGAATAGTGTTTGGCAGGCTTCTGACTGAAAGAATACAAAAAGAATCAGTGAGCAAAATTCAGGAGGTGCAGAATGATATTAGGCTGGGCAGGGAGTGAGCAACATACATAGGTCTGCTCTGTTATATAGTAGGAAGTGAGTGGGTTAAGAGAAATGTAAAAGTAAGTTGAGCAATAGCAGGACTGAGTTTTTAAGAAGTGTGCAAGTGGTAAAACAAAAAAGAGGTCAAATGCACATTACCGCAGTGGAATTTCCTGCAGGTTTTCTCCATGCATCCCTATTCAGCTTCCAGCCAGCCAGGGTCAACCTGGGTGCTGCCCCCTGCTGTGATACCATCGCCTCTAAAATAACTGATGGGCACCTTCCACAGCAGTCTCAGTTGAATCACCTGTTATATGCAAAGATGGGGGAGGGGGAATTAAGGCTCAAGCTCTTTTTTCACCTCTATAGCTGCTCATTCAAGGACCTTTCAGCTCACACGGGCAACAGCCAAAGCATCTGTAGCAAAATGCAAGTAATAAATCGTACCTACGTTTTATCTGCAAACAAAGGCGAACTTCCGTTTAAACACGGCATTTATGGAAATACAGTACTTCAAAGGCCGGAGCTTCTATTGTGTTCTGAGCGGGGAGATGGCTGCTTAAGCGCCCATCCAGTCCTCCCTCCCTTCGGAGAGATTCTCCTCTCTCGCCCAATGAATGACTCGAACTCAAGAGTTTCAGGGCTCTCCCGCTCCTTCGCCAACCGCTCCGCTTCAGGACTTTCCAGCCACGGGCGGCTCTGGAGTACCGTACCTTTCTTTCCTCCTCTGGGTCTCCGCCTTCTTCTTTCCTTCCAGCAGGCCCCCTTTCCATCCCAGCCAAGCAGAAGAGCGGAAAGCAGCCGAGGCATCTCTCTCTCTCTCTCTCTCTCTCTCTCTCCGCCCACCGCCTTCCTTCCAGCTACGTTTGCAGCTTTCCTTCTGGCGTTCATTCCCTCGAATCCCGCTTCCCGGCGTCGGCTCGGCCATGCTCCCCTTCTCTCTCCTCTTCCTCCTCCTCCTCGCTGGAAGCTGCGGCTGCTTCTCTTCAGGCTCGAGCCAGGTAGCCCCTTTCGACTTGCTCTACGCTGACGGGGTGCGGGCGTACTTCGCCCAGGACTGGCCTCGGGCCTCCGAGCTGCTCCAGCGCTCTCTCCACAGCTATTCGCAGCTGCAGGAGGCGCGCCGAAAGTGCCGAGGCGGATGCCAGAGGGAAGCCTTCTTTGGGAGTCAGTCGCCTTTCCACTCGTGGGAGACCACTTTCTTCGACCGGGTGCTGCAGCGAGCGGAATGCCTGGAGGAATGTCTGGGACGGAGGCTGGGCGGGCAGCCGTCCCGCTATCGGACCAGCCACGCCATCCAACAGGACTTCGAAGAGAGGGAGCCCTACAATTACTTGCAAATTGCCTTCTTCAAGGTGAGCGGCGGAGAGGGCGGGACCCTCTGTGTGCAAGAGCAGCTGCTGATGTGGCTGCCCGTCCTCGGCCCCCCTCTTCCACGCCCGCTAGAAGAACAGCGCAACAGTTACACCGCCCCCCACCCACCCCCCACCCCGAGACCGTCCAACCCTCACCAAAGTATTAGCATACATTTAATACCTTCCTAAATTCCGGGAAGCTCTTAAATTCTCCTGCAGAGACTCTCATGGCTTTGAATTTCAACTAGTCCCTTATCCATCCAGTTTTTAATACATTCTTTGCATTAATATTGTATTTCTGTTCTTTTGAGACATTCTTAGAGAGATGGGTTAGGAGGGGCAGGTTTAAAGTTATCTGTTGGGTGCAAACTCTGTTGCAGACTCTTGAGAGATAGAGGGCAGGACATTAATCTCAGCGCTACCACCCAACTTTATTTTCACTGCATCTGTATTTTTGTTTTTTGTTTTCATTGAAACCAGTAGTCAGGTCATTGAGTTCCTTTGATAAAAGTTGAGCAAATTCCTGACATCAGATTTAAATTATTTTGTACTGCTGCCTTGCGTGAAATGTTGATCCATCTATTGATTTCAAATGTTGGGTTTGGGCCGCCTTATAAAAAGCACTGGTTGCGGGCCATTTCAGAAGGAAAGAACTACTCTCACAGCATCCTAATTCAGAGTTCTTGAGATGCATGATGTGGAATGAACAATAATTTGATAGCCAATGAATGAGCAATAAAATGTTGGTTTAGCATTGCTGTTGCTACTGATGTTACATTTATGCTGCTTTTTTTGTTTCATCTGTTTGAGATGACAAAATAGTTGGGTTTTGTAATCATGTTAATTTGTGAGAAAACACTATATTCCTCAATCAGCAAAATGTCTCAGGCTGACTTGCTGTTGGCATTCTCATTGGGGACCATGTTAGCAAAGCTGATCCTACAGGGTGAAAAGTTGGAGATCTTGAACTTCTTTTCACTTTGGTTTTACACATCATAACTCCATTTATTTATTTATTTTGTCTTGCCCTGGAAGCTTGTTAGACCACTTCCTTCCTTCCAGGGGTTGGTGAGGATCAGTTGGCATCCATCGCTATCTAAGACTGAGAGGTCTTTCAACAGTCAGTGTTGTTTTTCTTGACAAATTAAAAGGAAGAAAAATGACTTAAACACATAGAATGTAAAAATATGATTCTAAATTTAATGCTGCTTAGATTTTACCTGTTTCTATTGAAATACCTGATTTCCAGTCCTCAACTTGGTTTATTTGATTGTGGTTGTTGTTGTTATTGTTGTTGAGCTTTTTGTGGCTAGTTTATATTTTTCATCAGTAGCTGAGAAGACTCCTCTCCGTTTCTCAAGTTTGAGATGACTCCTTGTTCCTCTGTTTTCTTAGAGTTCTCCATCTAGTTTTTTTAAAAAAAGCATTTTTTCCACCCTAACTGGGAGGGGCTATGATGATTAGGCTTTCTAATTCTAATAAAATAAATAAAACTGCCTGCTATACATGTCAGTGTTAATCATGTGAATTCAACCCAGATGCCACATAGCTGTCAATGCACATGGGATGAGGTTTCCTGCGGATTGACTACACAGAATAAGGATTTTAAAAATCAAATGAGACGGTATATTATAGTGTGTGTGGGGGGGTGCGCACATGCATGTATATCTATGTGTCTGCTAATTACAATTAGCATGTGAATTATGATATAATTATGATATAATAAACATTATTTCACAGATACTTTAGTCAATAGTATTACCATCTGGGAGCAAATGGATCCAACCAGAGGGATTGCTGTATTCCTTTTTAACCTTCCTTCTCCCAGACTGAGATGATTCCCTTGTATTCTACATTCAATCAAAAAGGATTTTATTTTCTCTTTTCAACAGTTAAAAAAACTGGATGAAGCTGTCTCTTCAGCTCATACATTCTTCATAGCCAATCCACAGCACCTACAAATGCGTGAGGATATGGAGAAATACCAGCGCATGGCAGGGATAAAATCTGAAAGCTTTCGGGATCTGGAAGCTGAACCACATTGGGTGAGAGATTTTTGGAAAACTGGATGTTATAGAACAGATCAGAAGGACTGCTGTGTAGAGATTGGGAGTCACGATTCTAAAGGCCTAAGAGCAGTGATGGGATTCAAATAATTTAACAACCGGTTCTCTGCCCTAATGATTTCTTCCAACAACCAGTTTTCCAAACTGTTCAGAAAGTTAACAACCGGTTCTCCCGAAGTGGTGCAAATTGGCTGAATCCCACCACTGCCTAAGAGTATGTCGACTCTCATAGATAATTGTGCTGTTAGTCCTTGCTTTCTAAGGGTTAAGAAACCATTGTCCTCCTGTGTTTTCCTCATATATCTTCTGCAAGTTCTCAGAACAGAACTGCAGCATAAAACTTCCTCTGTAAATTAAAACAAGCAGAACAATAGAAACCAGCCTGCAAAATTAGGAAAATTTGCTGATGTTTAAATATGCTATATTGTTACTACCCGTACCTGTTTCTTTCCAGTTGGCTTCATTGTGGTCTCTTTTTAAATTTGACTTAATGTTCTTTAAACTATTATTATTATTATACTTCAGCAATAGCCCCAAGTGGAACAATTATTTAGCAGAAATCTAACAACTGTTTTTAAAAAAGCAAACTGCTTTTTTAGATTGAATGGTTATTGATCTCTAGAAGTGATATTTTTCTTTGTATCCAATTTTTCTTTTAAAAAAACTTTAAAAATGTGTTTTTAAATTATTGTTGTAGAGCAGGATTTAAATTATACAAATACTTGTAAGGCAAATCCAGAAATATTTTTTAACAATGATCTGAAAATTTTTGGAGATAATACGCTCTGCTGGATCACTGCAGTAGGCAAAACATCACAGGGTGCTCACTTGTTGTGAGTGTGAGGATGCTGCAAAGGTCATAAGTGCAAGTATCAGTTGTAAGTCATTTTTTTCAATGCTGTGGTAACTTTAAATGGTCGCTAAAGGATTGGTTGTATGTTGAGGACTACTTGTACTCTTGAGTACATAATTGTACTATTCTTTGGATTCAATAGTCACCTCCTGCACAATCCTTGGACTTTAACAAAGGTGGCTTGGTTCTCTGACTCTGCAGGTAGCTTATGAAGCTGGGATGCATCATTATGGTACGGATGACTACCAGCAGGCAGCAGCAAAACTGGAAGAATCGCTCAGAGAGGGGCTGCTGGCACTGGAGAATTGCAGAGCTCTTTGTGAAGGGCCCCGAGAAGATGAAGACGACAAGGAAGAGACACAACTAGGCCTCTATGAAAGCATTGCAGGTATCATCAAAGGTTTAGTAAAGTATGATGAATTGTGTGAGCTGGCAAGTACGTGAAAACCATAAGCCATTGTCTGAAAGAAACATCTTTTTTTAAAAGAGATTTGCAGATCTTCAAAGGAATATGTCACTTGGACAAAAGATTGAGCAAAATTATGCTTTTGAAGGTATTTTACAAAGCAGCATAGCATTTTGCTTCTGAGGCTTCCTTTTCAGGAATAACCAAAGAGAACTGAGTATTGGAACTACTGTACAAAGCTTCGAGGTGATGCAAGCTACTTCACTGAGGAAATCCTGTAGCCTGTTTATCTAAGTGAGGAAAATTATTTACTGCATAGCACAGCATACTTGAGCATGACATGGGAGATCAATGGAAAAGTTTTTTCCCCAAAATTAGGAGCGGTTAGGTGAGGTATAGCTCTTAATCAGTGACAGTCACTTTTTAGAAGAAATAGTTTGAATGGTATGATTAAATATTCAGGGTAAGGATGTTGTTGTGGACTTATTAAAACTGATTAGAAAAAGTGTCCCTGTAAAGAGAAACAACTGCCATTTTTTCATGTTCTCACAATAGGTATAATAGCTTTTGCCAAAAAAAAAAATGGAGAGAGGGGAGAATCCTGAAATTTGGAATCAGATATGGGAGAAAATTAAGTTATTGGCTATTTAAAAAAAAAAAAACATTGAAAAATTGGGAAATTTCATTACTAGTCTCCTTCATCCTCCAAATGCTGCACTTCTGAACAATCGTACAAATTAGAAATTCTGTCAGTTTTAAAAGGGGCCAATGAGAAGGGAGGCATCTCAAATGAATATATGGCTCCAGGATTTTAAAAAGCATTTTGAGATGAGGAAATCAAATAATAGATCTCAGAATAAAATGCAGTAAATTTTGGAGATTTTCTAATTTGTACCAATAACAATAATCAAAAAAGGTCTCCATTTTTTTTAGGGAAAATTAGGAGAGGGTTATTAGTCAATATCAGAGCCCAGCACAAAATCCTTTCATACAAAAATTCTGGTCTGACTGGATGAAAAACATGGTTGTAAATGCTACCACTGAAAAATGATACCCAGCTAACTGCTAACTAATTCAGGCACTGGATATGTTTCCATGGGGATCTTTTCAATCTCCAATCTCTGATCCACACTCTTTTTATCTTTTTCTATTTTGCATGACATGGAAGTCTTGACGCCTCCCTTGGCCCACTAAAATTGAAACCATTTTTTCCAATCTTTGCTCATCTAAGACTTTTTTTAAAATAATAATAAACAACATAGCATTCTGCACTTAACTTGTATAGCCAATCAGCACTGCACAAGTTGTCATACTGACACAAGCCAAAACAATGTAGATGGCCAACAAGAATTAGATTTTGAAATAAAATGTCACATTAAAACTACGTAAATTTAAATTTAACATGCATTGCTTGAATGGTGAAATAATAAACACAGACAATGTAGGAATCTTAGCAATACTTGTTTCAGTGCTTCTGTAGTTGAAACGCCAAAGCCCCTTATGTTTCTCTCTGCTTTCCAGCTCATTATGTCCAGGTCTTGAAATGCAGGCAAGAGTGTGTCCTTGATATTGCCACCAAGCCAGGCAGGGTGTCTTCCACAGAAGATTTCATCCCATCTCATTTTGATTTATTGCAATTTGCCTATGACAGAGGTAAGCAGGAAATGAACAGCTGAGAAGTTCATGTAAGGGGTCAAGCTTTGCCAGAATGACAGACAGAAAAAACATGATGATGAAGAACATTTTCTTTCTTTTAGTTGGAAATCGGACTGTTGCTGCTGAATGTGCAGCTACCTTCCTGCTGTTCTATCCATCAGATGAAAAAATGCTGGAGAGGTTGAAAGAGTACCAAGCAGATCTGGGAAAAGAAATAGCTATTCCAGCCAGAGAGGTAACCAGCAGCATTTCTCTTATCTGAAATATTTCTCAGTTCTCAGTTTTGACAAATTAATAAGGTTTCAGTGATAGCATCATAGAGTCGGCAGGGGTCTTGGAGGTTCCACTAGAACAGAGGTGTCAAATGCAAGGCCCACGGGCCAGATCCTGCATGCGGGGTGCTTAGATCTGGCCTGGGGGGGGCAGTCTGGAAATAGCAAAGGATTGGCCCACGGTGCCTCTGCTAGCAAAAATGGGGCAACCGCTTTTAGCCTTTGGAGTGGTCCAGGAGGCCTTTCAGGCCCAAAACGGACTCTCCAGAGTGGCCCAGGAGGCCTTCCAAGTTTCAGGCCCAAAATGGGGCCTCCAGAGTACTGCAGGAGGTCGTCCTTAACTCAGAAGGTTATAAAAGGGAGGAAAAATAAAATATTTTACCTTTCAGGCTTGCAGGATTCTGCTACTAGCCTATGTCAATAATTTATAGTTCTAGTCTTCCTATGGAATCAGTTTCTTGATCTGGTCTCTTTCTCATAAGGTGATCAAGTAGATGAAGTAGGTATTAAAAAAACAAAATCACAGAAATATTTGCCACCCTATTTTTATAAGTTTATGAAACCATGTCTGCAGAGGTGCAGTTCCATGTCACACCCACCATGGCCATGCCCACCTCACATCCAGCCCTCCAAGGTCAAACCCAATCCTGATGTGGCCCTCAATGAAATTGAGTTTGAACCCCTGCACTAGAAGATCCCTGACAGATGACTATCTAGCCTTTGTTTGAAGTTTTTTTTCAAAGGAGAATTCACCACCTCATGTGGTAACCTGTTCCACTGCTGACAGTCCATGAACTCATGAGTTCCTCCTGATGTCTAGTTGGCACCTTATAATTTTCATTCACTGGTTCTGGTCCAGCCCTCTGGCCAATAGAGAATAGGTCCACGCTCTCATCTGTGTGATAACCCTTCAGATGTTTGAAAACTGTTATTGTATCTTCCCTTAAATATTTTTCTATAGATGAAATGTACTCCAATCCTTTAAAAAATCCTCATAGAGTTTGGTTTCCAGACCATTCACCATCTTGATAGTCATACTCCAAACCTACTTCAATTTGTCACTATCCTTTTTCAATTGTGGGACCCAGATCTGGATAGAGCTTTCCAAATGGAGGCTTACCAAGGCCCCATAGAGTGAAACAATTACTTCCCATCATCTGAACTCTGTGCTACTGTTAATACATCCCAAAGTAGCATTTGTCTTTTAGCAGTTGCACCATATTTAATGTGTTTAACAGGGACATCCAGGTCACTTCCACATGTATTACTGACAATCAAATTTTCTTCCACTCTATAGTACTCTGCATTTTTCATACCAAGATACAGAATCTGATATGTCTCCCTACTAAGTTCAATCCTATTCATTTCAACCCACTCTTTAAGCCTGTCTAGATCTATTAACATCTTCACTCTTTCATCTAAAATATTAATCATCCTTTCCATCTCCGCACTTTGTAAGTGTCCCATCAGTTACTCACCCAAGTCTCTGATAAAAATATTGAACACTACAGGATTGGACCCTATGGCACCCATCTCCATATTTTTTGCTATAAATTGAAGTAAGCCACTAATAAGTTCTCACTGGATGCAGTCGCTCAATTATGTTGATCCCATCTAGCAGTAGTAATAGAAGTGGTCTTTGCTATAAAACATGTATTAATATATAAATTAAACAATAATATGGTTAGAATTTTATCCACCAACTCTTACTCATTGTTCTGTACCCATTCCTCTCTGTGCCAATAATAAAGGTATTCTTTCATAATCCAAGTGGGTTTATGTTAGATGCCTTAAAGCATTATCTTCCTATTACCATAAGGAATACCTTGAGACCAGTTAGTCTAAAAGAAAGGCTTTAATATTCTCCAGTGTTTCAAGCACTCAATTAAGTGGATGATTAATGATAGAACTACAGTATTGAACAAATCATGACTTTTAAAAACCTATGCATCCACTTCCAATCATTTACTTGCTGGATCAATCAAGCAAAGGACCTTTTCATATGAGCCCCCAAAGCATCCTTTGCGATTATTAAATATGCATGTCAGCATAGTAACAACTACATTCAAGGCTAAAGTACTGGGCTCAGTATATGGCATTCAGTTATGTATTTATAAGAATGCTTCTAGGTTGGAAGCTATCCAATACCAATTTTTAAAGCTATACCCCAGGATCCTTTCTTTTATTTTGTTTCATTTCTAGCATTAGTTTAGAAATTGACAAATTGCCTATAAGAGCAAAAACGGGTAGATATATCAATATACGCTATGAAAATCACCTTGATATATGTTTATCAGTAGATATAGAAGTTGAATCTGTTGCATATGCATTGCTACACTTTGAAATAAATGAACAATAGAATTCATGACACCAATCATTAGCAATCTTAATTGCTCCTCTGAGCAGGAGCTGATCATTCTACCCCAAATGTTAACTAAATAACATTTAATTATTTCCAGTAAGGTTGCTGAATTTTTAACAACAGTCATAGTTTGCAAAGATCATCCTTTACATTATTACTTTCTGTATAAGTCGTGTTATACAGAATATATAATATTTAATTGTTATAAAATTATCTTCTCTTAAATGTTGGTCTGGGACTGCAATAAATTCATCAGAGTGAATGGCAAGAAATTAAGATAGCCCCCAATGAATGAATTGGTAAAGCAAAGAGAAGGATAGGCACCAGATTAAAGTGTTTCCAGCTCATCCTTAGCCTGTCACCCATAATCCCTTTGGCAAGAAATCTGTGTACCCTTACTGTCTTCTTTCTTCTTTTTCTGATGCTCACACAATTTGATGACCATGAATCAACTAAGGTTTGTTTAGCTGGCAAGTAACTGCTTTTGTTTGAGAAGAAAGTAAGCTCTTACCCGTTTCAATCTATTGCAGCTCACCTTTTTGATTCCCCAAGGTGCAAAACCTGGTGTTAGTTTAGGGCACTGCATTTTCAGAAGTCTACGATGAAAGTTGTGGATATTTTTTCTCTCTTGTCCTTTAGAAGTGCTATCACTGCTGTTTGCCCTAAGTTGCTGTTGACTAGCAGCTTCCCTTCAGGGAAAAGTAACAACTCCAAGGATGGTTGCAGCATGGGGTGGCATTAATCCCTGTCTCTGCCATGACTGGGACAACAAGACAGAAATGTGAAGCTCATATTGAATATAACATCTTGTTTGACCTGAAGGCAAGGTAGATTGCCTGCAGCAGAGATGGTTGTGTATATTTTGTGTCTTGTTTTCTTGAACAAGAAACACTCAAATCATTTATGATTTCTGTACATTATTTTATATTACCATGTTGTAACATCTGCTTTCAATCCACAGAATATCCGCTGTTATGTGCAAAGATCCCTTATGGAAAAGAAACTGATCTATTATGCAGTACAGCACCTTGATGAAACTTTTAAGGATCCAGTAAGTGGTTGTCTTTCTTCAAAGATTCTTCATGGCCTCCTTGCCACAAAGCTATTCATTTATCTCATCTATCGAATACTGCTTGATAAAATAGTACATAGGATCCTCTTTCTGGCTTCCTTTTCTGATGCCTGAAATGAACTGAAAGAAGCTATGCTTTAAGGACATATATTCATTTATTATAAGCCTTTTTCAGCCAATGTCATCTTAAGACTATCAGGGCAATATGTAAGAAGCATAACATCCAAGATATGCTATCTTACAACACAACAAAATTCTAAAACAATACCAGACAAAAATAAATCAGAAGAATGCTAATCATATACCAAAGTAAACATAAAGCAGCATAGAATTTTAAAATATATGTCAATTAGAGGTCTTTAAAATGATAGCATTTTAATGCTGGTCAAGTATCTATAGAAAAAATGTTTCAAAGGTGGCGTGCTACCACAGTAAAAGTGCTAATTATAGTTGGAAGTGTTTCTAAAAAGCTGTTACTGATTGTGTGGGAAGGAGCACACTGCTTGTAGAAGTACAGGAAACAGGACAGATGATTTTTTTCCCCAGTCTGCTGACTTTCACAAATATTTCTGCTGCGTAGAATAGCCAGAAAGTAGGACACATGTGCCTGCTGTGGTGAGGAGGTGTCTGCTCTAGTGCAATCCTGTGAAAAAAGAAAATGGGCCAATAAACTTAATTTTGTAGTGCTAAATCCTGGATGTGTTTCTTTAGGATTTATGGACTCCTGAGGAACTGATCCCTGAAAGCATGAAGGAGAAACACAAGTAAGTTTCAGAGCAGAAATGTAAGATATGGATGCAATTCTAGGGCACCTTAATAAAAGGCAATGATTCAGCTCTGTTAGGAAAGATTTTTTAAAGAGTCCTTAAATGTAACAGAATAGAAATTATAACAGATTTGATTTATTGCTGAGCTATTTAATTGAAGAGGCAGTCTCATGGCCTTTTCTATATTTGTTTATTAATCCCAAGAGAAGATCAGGAGAAACGAAGCTTGAAGGCCTCATATATGCAACAACGGGATCAAAATGGTGAGTACCAGAAAAAGAATTGATAAATAGGAAGAAAGGTTATCATGTTTCTTCTTCTTATCATAATGAGAGAAGAGGGAGACTCCAGCAGGATGATTCCACAGTTTCTCCTAAAGAGGAGATGGAGTAAGTCTCCTTCCCAGTACTGAAGTTCACTTGCTGAAGCCTGGCATTGTTTGGGATTCCAGTTTACTAGCTGCCACAGGGACCCAAAGGGATAGAAAAGCTATAGAACTTATCTCAGCACCAAAGGTATTCAGAGTGCCTATTGGGCATAGAGGCATATCAACAATAGGATGGCCACAGCTTCTTCTCCACAGAGGACTGTCCTCAGTTTGGATGTCAGCCAATGAATCCTACTTCAAATAAAGTGTAGTCTTTCCCATTTTATTACCCTTCAGATACGTTGATATACAACTTCCATCATGCTGATTAAGGATGGTAGGTGCTTTAATTCATCATATTTGGAAGTATTGGCTTGGGTAGGCAGAGAGGAGAAAATAACTTTGAAGCTGGAGAACAGCCAGATATCACTGGGTCACAGTCTACCCCACTATGATAAGATGCATTATATTTCTGTTTGAATAAGTACAGTGATTCCTAAATTGTATCTATTCAAAAGATTCATTGGTCAACTCTTTATGTGTTGGTGTGTGCTGTGTGTGTTTTTGCGTGTGTGTGACAGGCAGAAAGGCAGATAGACAAAAAGACAAGGGGGGACAGACAAACAGACAGAGATAGAGTCTCTATTTGGCTATAGGTAGTCCTTGATTTATAACTGTAATAGTGCATGAGTCAAGGACGATGAGTGCTGTAAGGACCTTTACCTCTGTTTTCCCAAGACTTTGGAATTATATCACTAATGAGACTATAGCAGCTATGATTTTACAGTGATTTTTAAAATGTAACATCTAACTATTTTGAAATTTCAATAGTTGCTAAGTGGCCCTGGGTAATAGCTGCTGCTAATTCTATTAAATGGATATCTGTTTTTAATTTAATTTAGATATTACTTTTTATTTTCCATTGGAAATCGCATTCAGCCATAAAAGAAACAACATTTTAAACAAATAATACAGTATAATAATAAGACTACACATATCAAGGTACCTGTGATAACAGTTGAGTCAGTAACACAGCTATAAGCTTTGTATCAGACCGTTTCAGTAACCTTGCATCTGAATTCTGAAATAGATGGATAATGACTGCCTAGCAGTAGATTTTTGGTATCAGCTTCCAAAGAATAATTTGCAAGTGAGGATTGTTTAGTGGCATGGAGTCTTTCAAAGTCCCTTATGCAGATACCAATTATAACTTATAAGAAGGGCACACATATGTTCAGAGATTGCAAATTAGAGCATACAGGTAGTCCTCGACTTACAACAGTTCGTTTAGTGACAACAGCACTGAAAAAAGTGACATGACCATTTTTCACACTTTATGACTGTTGCAGCATCCCCATGCTCACGTGATCAAAATACAGATGCTTGGCAACTGACTCATATTTATGACAATTGCAGCGTCCCAGGGTCATGTGATCATCTTTTGCGACCTTCCAACAAGTAGTTTAATTAAGTAGCTTAATTGTGTTACTAACTTAGCAACTGCAGCGATTCACTTAACAATTGTAGCACACAAGGTTGTAAAATGGGGCAAAATTCACTTAACAAATGTTTCACTTATCAATAACAATTTTGGGCTCAATTGTGGTCATAGATTGAGGCCTATTTCTTCTTTTGTACTCATGATGAACAGTAATGTTTGATGGCATCTCTATATACACTTCTGCCCTCCTTGTTTTTTCCAGAACCACTACCTTTTGAGGACATCAACATCACCATGGATTCTCACCAACTCAATGGTACCCAGAGGGTCGTCTTTGATAGAGTCCTGACTGAATCAGAATGCAAAGACATCCTTCGTCTGTCCATGGTAAGGATAGGAGCTGGCAAATGCTTTGCGTGATCCCGTCTGACAGAAAGAGAAGCTTTTCACTGGTGAAGGACAATACCAGATCTCTCATACGTTTGTGCGTGTTTCAGGCAGCTGGAGGAACAGGAGATGGCTATCGTGGCAGACGTTCCCCTCATACTCCACATGAGCGATTTGAAGGCTTAACAGTGACAAAAGCTTTGCAGGTAAAAGTGATTTTAGAATGAGCTAAGTTCCTGGTCCTGCAGGACTTTCCCCCTCTCCACCCTCCGCAGTTTCACAGACTCTAGACATAAATATATATTACAAAGTGAATATTAAAGACGAGTAGGACACATGCATAGCCTCCTCATCCTTTTCCTAAAATTTAAACTGTATGTATTATGCAAATAAATGTGAAAAGATTTCCAGATGCTTTTTTTGGGGGGGAAAGGATAGTGCAAGTCTCAACTGAGAAGTGATAAACAAATGCTTAACTTTTCCTTCTTTCTGAAACAAAACAAAATGACTCTTTGAATGGGAGATAGGATTAGAATAAGGTGAAAAAGAGATCACGAAGGAGCAAATATGCAGTGTATAAAACAATACAAAACTTGTTTCATTTTCTATTTTTACTTTTCTTTTATTGACTAAACAAAATATGGTAAAAACTAAGAAATATAAAATTAAAAGGGGAAATAAGGTAGTAATAAAAAAAGCAAATTAAAAAATAAATTAAATTAAACCTTGGGAACGTGGTTCCGCTCTGTGTATGGCCATATCCATACAACAAACATACCTTAGCACTTGTTTCCAGAGTCCATATCGTTCATCCTTTACCTAAGAATATCTCAAGATCAACCTAAAGCCTGAAGAGCTTTTAGTAACAGTAACAGAGTTGGAAGGGTCCTTGGAGGCCATCTAGTCCAACCCCCTTGCTCACATAGGTGACCTGTACTAGGGATTCGAACCACTGAATTGTTGACCTTTCTGATTGGCAAGCTTAGTGTTTTAGCAACTGAGCCACCTAGTTAGGCATGGTCCTTCCCTCCAGAAGATATATTTTCTGGAGGGAAAATTTCTGGTCCTTCCTGCCAGAAGATGTATTTTCTCTCTAATCCCAGCTCAAGACTTTCCATCTGGACAATGTATGGTGCACAAAGGAGGAGGAGGGTTGAAGAAACAACCTCTTTCAGTCTAGCTTCTGGGTTTTCTGCCTATTTTGCAGTCCTGGTTTGCCTACAACAGAAACCTGGAGAACAATTACTACCTTTGCTTTGCTCCCATGAGTGAATTAACATGCATCTCCAAGTCTGAATGTATTTGGAAAAGACTCTGATGTTGGGAAAGGTTGAAGGCAAAAGAAGAAGAGGGACGGGAGAGGATGTGATAGTTAGATAATGTCATGAATGCAATGAATATGAATTTCAGCAAACTTTGGGAGACAGTGGAAGACGGGGGGGCAGGGGCTGGTCACAAAGAGGCAGACACAGTTTAGTGATGATGAGATAAAAGAATGTAAGGCATTTTATGACCAGTGGTGGAATCTTCGCTCAATTCTCATTTTTTTGAAAAAAAAATGAACATTTGTATTTAGTATCAGTATCAAGGTAAACAAAAAGCAGAAAGTAGAGCCAGGAAAGGAGGTATATATATTTTTTTGTCTCTCACTTTATTGATACCTTATAAAATAAATACACAATTAACTGACAGTCTAGGGCATGGGTGTCAAACTTGTGGTGTCATGTTGCCGTCACATGATGTTTCGTGACATTTTTTTCCCTTCACGGAACTGGGGTGGGTGTGGCCTGTGTATGACGCATCTGGCCCGCGGGTCGCCAGTATGACACCCCTGGTCTAGGGCCATAAGAAAATTGTCACCATCTGAATTTCTTCTCTGATTTGATATAAGAGAAGCCACTTCTTCCACCCTATTTTGTTAAGAACATAATGAGTCTTTATCAGTTTTCTTTTTCATAAATATCCCTGGATCTTCCTGAGATTTAATAGAAATTAAGTATTGCACTGATTTGTTTTTTTCTTATAGCTGGCTGAGGAGAGTAGTATGAACTGGAAAGATATTAAACTTCTCCTGCAAGCCAGTGAGAAATCCCGGAAAATTGTGGAATCCTATTTTACCCCTGGGAAAAATCTCTATTTTTCTTTCACACATCTTGTGTGTCGCACAGCTGCAGAAGGTAAGGAGCTCTTAAGTACTTTCTTGAGACCTGCAATGTAAGAGTTTCATGTTTATGATGACAATTTGTAATACATCTCATACTAACATGTAACATGGTATTTCTGGTAAATATATTGCAAAAATTATCAATCAATTGAAGAAATAGGAAAGGAAAATAATGCAACCTATTCATGTTGGAATGCGTAGCGAACATAGGTTTGGTTATATAACTTTAGCAAATGCATCTCATGTTTATTAATAAAGCAGTAAATATCAGAGCCAAAAACAGTTGTAAGGATATTCAAAATACGCCACTTTCTCATTCTTTAGTTTATAAGCAAAATTTCAAATATGAATTCTGTTTTAGAGCTGAAAATTAAAAATCCACTGTTTTATTAAGATTATGATTTGATTTTTAAACGTATAAAAAGCCATGGTGACACAGTGGTATGGTGGTTAGAATGAAGTACTGCAGGCTAACTCACTGCTCACTCCAGGAGTTCGATTCTGAACTGCTCAAGGTTGACTCAGCCTTCCATCCTTCCGAGGTCAGTAAAATGAGGACCCAGATTGTCAGGGGCAATATGCTGACTTAGTAAATTGCTGAGAGAGGGCTGAAAAGCACTGTGAAGCAGTATATAATTCTAAGTGTTATTGGTAAGTATTATATATCAAATACAAAGTCCCATAAACTCATATCCACTATCCTTTTTCAATCCAGGAAGAGAAACTCATACATATGCTGTATAAAATAATATTGAATTGTCAGTGTGGGCTGTGTTCTAGATTGGATCCCATTTATTTATTTGGTATCACAACGTCTGTATATTTTACACCTGGGGTTATTCTTAATAGGCATATTCGTGAATTCAGTACAATACAGGCTGTGTTGATGAAAATGTGCCACATATAACTATGTATAACATTTAATTGCAAGAGAAATTGGTGCAAAAGTGTACGGTCATAAATGTTTTATCCTTTGAATTTATAGGCTGGGTGCCTAATAGAGACTATAGTTTAGTTTTCCAATTGGAATGGAAGTGAAAAGTTACGGTGCTATTTCAAAATTTCATTTTTATAAGCTTAAATTCTGCTAATTGTACATGCACATAGATATCAGTGAAGGAAGGCAGGTTTAAAAATAAAGATAATGTGGTCAATGAGAGTGATGCTTCCCAGAACATATACAGCGAAAAGTAGTCTCCATTAAAACAAAGATATGAAAACTCTGGATTTTCTGCCATCAAATCCTAAGGTCAAAGGAAAGTATAGAAGAAAGGATTGCTAAACTAATCCTCCATCTTGAAAACACTAAATCCACCACACTGAAATACTCAAGAGCTATGGTGACACAGTGATTAGAATGCAGTACTGCAAGCCAGCAGTTTGATTCTGAATGGCTCAAGGTTGACTCAGATTTCCATCCTTCCAAGATTGATAAAATGAGGACCCAGACTGTTGGGGGCAATATGCTGACTCTGTAAACCGCTTAGAGAGAGCTGTAAAAGCACTGTGAAGCGGAATATAAGTCTAAATGCTATTACTATTGCTAATAAAGCATGGAGAGAGGGAGGGAGGGGAAGAGAGAGAGAGAGAGAGAGAGAGAACGAGAACGAGAACTAGTGGGAAAACATATAGACTGCTATATGTGTAAGTCAGATAAAGCAGTCCTATGATAAACTGGGGCTCTGCTTGAAACTGGGATTTTGCTATCTCTCCTAAGTCATCCCGGTTGATACATTGAGAGGAATTTTGCTGGAGGAGAAATGGATAGCAATATACATTTTTAAAAAAGTCTCAAGCCAGTTCCATCCTACTAGAATTATACCAGGTATTACCTGGGTGTGTTTCTTCAAAAAATAAAGGCAGTCCTTAACTGTTGGGACCAGTATTTCCATTGCTCACAAGACGGTTGTTAACCGAGTTGCACCCTATTTTATGACCTTTATTGCTATAATTGCTAAGCAAATCACTGCAGTTGATTACGTGAATTACACAGTTGTTGAGTGAATCCAGCTTTTCCCACTGACTTTGTCAGAAATCAGTAAATGGTGATAACTCCAGGAAGCTGCATAAACACATGCTGGTTGTCAAGGGCCTGAATTTTGACCACCTGACTATGAGGATGGTGCAATGGTTATAAGTGTGCAGGTACTTTTTTCAGTGCTATAGTAACTTTGAACAGTCACTAAATGAATGGCTGTAAGTCAAGGACTACCAGTACTATGTACTGTAAATTCTGTAGTTATAGAAAAAAATGAGGACTCAGCCTTTGGGTTTCTTTTGCCTATTGAGCAATAAAATGCAGTTCAAGGGAACAAAACAGTTACGACTTTTGTTGTTCTTCCTTAGGAGAACAGGAAGGCCGCATGGATCTCAGCCATCCAGTCCATGCTGATAATTGCCTCTTGGATCCGGAAGGAAACACTTGCTGGAGAGAACCCCCTGCCTACATACACAGAGACTATAGGTAATAGCTTCAGAGTGAAAACAGATATACTGTATATCTCATGCTGAGCCTCTCGTACTTAAATTATTTAGATACACATTTTGTTTATTTATTTATAATTAAAGATGATAAATTTTAAACAGACTTGCAAACCCCATTCAGCAATTTGGAAGGAAGGGAGTTTATGCTGTTTGGTTGATGTGACCAATATGACCAAGAGCCTTGGTGGTGCAGCAGACTAAAGCACTGTTAAGTAACACCAGCTGCCTGCAATTATTGCAAATTCAAATCTCACCAGGCTCAAGGTTGACTCAGCCTTCCATCCTTTCAAAGGTAGGTAAAATGAGGACCCGGTTTGTGGGGGCAATAAGCTGACTTTGTATAAAAAAGAACACCGCTTGGGGGGCCCAAAAAGCCCTACTAAGCAGGTATATACAAAAGTATGAAGGCTATTGCTTAATGCATTGTAAGCCGCCCTGAGTCTCCGGAAAAGGGCGGCATATAAATCGAACCAATAAATAACTAAAATAAATAAATAAATATACCACTGAAACTATTTAAGCTTCTGGCAGTTTATAATAATGTAGTCATTAGCAGTTGCTTGGGTACTAAAGTAAGAATTTTGAATTTCTTTTATTTTAAATTCATTTGAAGGACCTTCTTTCTTCATTTACACCTACCTGGTCCAGGGGTGGGTTCTAACCGGCTTTACTGCCGGTTCTCTTTGTGTGCGTGCTTTGCGCGCGATCGCCTAGAAGTCTGTACAGTTTAAAATTGCCAGGGTTGAGAAACACTGTTCTAGAGTGTGGCTACCCTGAACCTCTTTCTCTCTCCCCCACCCAGTTCAGGACTGCAGTTTTTTATTTTGGGCCTCTTTATGGAATATATTGTCTCCTCCCTGGAAAACCACAATGCTCTTGCTGAGACTTCCCCCCTTCTTCTCCTCCAATTAAATCTTCCATCACAATTGTCTCTCTCATTGCAGACATTGGTATGATGTCACTTATCATTATAGTCAAGAATCTACTTACTACTGTTCTACACAGTTTCTTCCACCATGAGAAGATTCTGGGCAGGAGACATTACAGTGTTGAAAACCTGGCTTGACCATACAATGCTCACTCTGACATGCCTATCTATTTATAACCCATGTTTTTCACTGCTGTTTCTGTCTTTTTATTTACCATAATAAAACTGTTAAAGAAAGATAGAAACATTTCAAAATATTGTGCGTGCTCCATTACTGGAGGTTTTTAAGAAGAGATTGAATGTCAAAGCCAGAAATCCAACCATGAGATAGGAGGAAGAAGATAATAATTTGACTAAAAGTCAGAGCAAGAGACCCACACGCCTGTCCAGATTGACGGACTGAGTCAAAAGCTGGATCTGCCCAGTAACATGGGCGGGACTTAACAGCTATGAAAGACTCAGTCCATCAATCTGAACCTGCGAGTACAACCCATGCTGGCTGCTGTCTCCACCCACAATGGAGAATGGTATAGGAACTCCTGCTTGAGCAGGGATTGGACTAGAAGACCTCCAAGGTCCCTTCCAACTCTATTATTCTGTCATTCGGCTTTGTGCTGGGCGATGCTAGTGCTTTGGTTCCAACTGCTATTGCCAATAATTTGTGCTGCCATCTATTGTCCAAAGGCAGTAGAGCACCTTTGTCCTCTTGCTTTGCCTTCTCTTTGTCTTTGAATAGTTTTATTAATTTATAATATGACATACAAAGAGAATACAAAAGCAAATATTAGGGAAATTAGGAAAGGAAAAAGGGAAGTAGATAGTAGGGGAAAGCAAGGAAAAAAGAAAAAAAAGGCATTGACTTCCGACTCCTTTGGTGCAGTAAAATAAAGCATTAAGATCTACCCTCAACTTTTTACTTTTTCATAATAATAGTAACTAGCGATTTCTATAACAACAAATCTATCTAATTGGCTTTGCCTTCTCAATAGAGAAAGTTGATCTGTGAATTCTTCATCTGACCATTCCCTCACAGCTTTGAAAAGAAGACATCATCTGATATTATTCACAACCTACTGTTTATTTTATACATGAAGCTAATAAGTAGATTATTTACCTTACTCCTGCTCATATAAATTAATTAAATAATAAGTACAAATTAATTTATTGCAAATCCAGCAAAAGAAAAGTTTTGACTTTTTTTAATATAGAAACTGTTCCATAGAGATTTTTCCACATCAAGCAATTTGCAGAAAGAAGAGCCCCCTGGAGCAGGATTTACACCAAAATTAAACCAATATTTTACAGAACTTAGAGGTTTACCTTGTATGTGTCTCTGCAGTAGCCTTGCATAAACTGCTGCCCTCTAACCTTGTAGGAATGGTGGCACATACTGGGATTTATAGTCCTAAAACAGTTAGACCGAACACTTGGATCACAATAAAATTGAAAACCAAAAAAACATTTTTTCCTTCAAAGGGTGCACAATTTCACAGATTGTGTGCAATTTTATAAAGCTATAATATAACATGAGACTAACATATTTGAAGCATTTTTCTGGCTTATGGTATTTAAAGTATCTCTGTGCATGTTTTTAAAAAAGGTAACCATTTTTAGTAAAAAAAAAAAAAAAGGTGTTTGAACAAAAATAATTTTGTGGATGTTTAAAAGGCTTACCAAATTTTTGTTGGATAAATTCATATTATAATAACTTTGTGTCACAAAAATTATGTATTTTAACTATACATTATAGTCCAATAGTGAAAAAAATTATCTAATACCATAGTATGATTTATCCAAGAAGAGAGATTTTCTATTCCACATCATTTCTGGCTATTAATAGAAAAAAAATCAATACCTGCTCTCGCCCTCTTTCTTTCTACCAGAATAGAAAGGGAAGCAGATGCCATAAATTCAACTGAGGTTCATTGACAATTCTTAATTTGGAGCCATGAGATGGAAAGGTGACTTACTTCACTATCTAAGGAGGATTTCAGTATTTTTAAATTCAATTCTGAACCAATTACTAGCTGTACATATTGTTTTGCTCACTTAACAACTGCCTTGCTTAGCAATGGTAATTTTGGTCCCAATGGTGGTCAAAATTTGCGGACTACCTGCAGTTCTGTATATAGAAATATTTTCAGTAAGTAAATTGGTAGGAGAATTCTGGAGAATTTTACATGGCATCCAAACAGCCATTTTAATGTTTGGTGTAATTTCAGGAAGCATCCAGATATGTTATTCTTTTGTAATCAGTCCAAATATTATTCCCCTTAGTAGGAATAATTCAGTTAGTTATAATGACTCTAATCAGCAAATGTGTGGGTGTTTCCTATTTGCTCTTACAGGCTTTAGTCATATGGGACTGGAGTCTTCACCCCTCCCTCCAACTTTAGTTATTCTGAGGAGGCATTGTTCTCCTCCTCATGAACCTTTTATCATTTTTCAAAATAGAATTCTAGAATTTCAAAATACTCAAAGCTTTTCTTCGTGACATTTCTTTCTATCTTACTCATCCAAGCTAAAAGAAACACTGCTTTGTGCATGTATCAGTTGACAATCTTCCTGGCAAACAATTCTTTTATCATGGAATTCATTAAACTAGCAAAAGAAAAGAACTGAATCGCTGCCATGTATTTTGCTTCTTAGTCTGAAACTACAAAGAGACCTCTTGCTTGCCATTCATAGTTTTATGATTAGAGTAGAAGTATACAGTGATGCTTTTTCCATGCTCAAGAGAGCAACAAGTTTAAGATTGGTGTCATCCTTGTATATTCTTAATCAAACTGTCTGCTCATTGGAAACTGAGCAGATTAACTCTGCAAGTTAATTTGGCTTCTGTGTAAGAAGGAATGGCTTTGTGATTATTGTTCTAGCGCTCTTCCTCTAGAGCTGCTGGGCAAGAGATGTGCCCTGTTGGTAGTAACTTCTGTCTAGCCCTGTTCTGGGATTCTTATTGACTTGCAGGTTCATTCTTCCCCTTCTTCCTCATCAAACATAGCTCGGTTCCTCCCATAATCATAATCATAAGTTTATTTGTCAAGCATATATAAGATAACAGGTAAAAGTATAAACATAATTTGAATACATGAAAAGAGTAAGTAAAAAGGAATATTAGGACAGGGACAGTAGGCACGTTGGTTCACTTATGCACGCCCCTTACAGACCTCTTAGGAATGGGGTGAGGTCAACAATAGACAGTTTAAGGTTAAAGTTTTGGGGGTTTGGGGAAGAAACTACAGAGTCAGGTAGTGCATTCCAGGCATTGACCACTCTGTTAGTGAAGTCATATTTTCTGCAATCGAGTTTGGAACGGTTTACCTTGAGTTTGCATCTGTTATTTGCTCGTGTATTGTTGTGGTTGAAGCTGAAGTAGTCACTGACAGGAAGGACATTGTGGCAGATAATTTTATGTACTATGCTTAGGTCAGACTGAAGTTGGCATAGTTCTAAGTTGTCTGAGCCCAAAATTTGGAGTCTGGTGGCATAAGGTATTTTATTGCAGTTAGAGGAATGGAGGACTCTTCTCGTAAAATATCTCTGGACTCTCTCGATTGTATTAATGTCCTATATGCAGTGCGGGTTCCAGACTGATGAGCTGTATTCAAGAATTGGTCTAGCAAACGTTTTGTATGCTCTAGTTAGTAGTACAACATTACCAGAGAAGAAGATACGCAAGATTAGGTTAACAACTCTTAATGCCTTTTTGGCAATGTTATTACAGTGGGCTCAGACACTTAGATCTTTAGAAATGATCTACAACTAAAAAAGAAACTTTTTTCTCTCCCTTCTTTTCTCAACGTAAGGAGCTAATACACCAAAGTGAAGACCATACCTGGGACTGCTTCTTGTTTCTAATTGGATAGCTAAAGGAGAAGTTGGGAATCTCTGCCGAATGCCACACAGCAGCATGAAAATATGTGGATGGAAGCCATTGGCTGTGTGAAGGGAGTCTGGGAATGAAAGTGATTTTCATGTCAAGCTGATCCACGCTTTAATTAATGTGTGCTGCTGCTGCTGCTGAGGAAGAGAACAATGTTAAACATGGCAGGAAAATGATCCCTGCAGTCATTGATTGAGAGTGGACCAGTTCCACATTGCAGTTGGCTCTCATCCAAAAGATCATATGCTTGGAATATTTTGAATTTTGGAATTCTGGTTTTAATTGTTTTTTTAAAGCTGTTTCTGCAAATGGATGAAGAACTTCAGACATGTCCAAAATGAACCTATGCTCATTTGCTCACAGTGTTTTGATGGAGAGAATGAGGAAGAGAGAGATTGGGTAGCTCCCTGTGAAAGCTTAGAAGAGTAAAGGGAAAATCATTGGAGAAATGAGACACGGTAGGAAAGTAGGGAGAACAGTATATATTTTCTTCTTCCCATGCAAGGTATTTCTTTAAGTATGCTTTCTTTTTAGGCATGCAAATTTAAATTAGTCCCCTGTATTAATGCCTGCTGGTACAGGCATTATATCCAAGATATAATGGATTTTTTTTTACAATAAAACATGTAAAAGGAGTGGGTGGTATGGAAAATATCCATGTTGCAGTTCTGCAAATAACAAACAAGCAGAACAGTAAACATAGAATGTCAAAGACAGCTCACAGATAGACCAACTTTGCTTTCAACTAACTGCTGACAATAAATGAAGAGCACACACAGAATGCGCACACAGAACAGAAAAAGAAAGTGGATTTGACAGTTGCCACTGGCTCTGAATATAGATGAACCTTTTCTAATGTGTTGGCATCCAGACAACATTGTTGGTTGTTGTAGCGCAACACATTTGTAGGGGAACAGTTTGAAGAAGGCTGCTTCAGGTCCTGTACATTTCCCTGAATAATTTGTTTGATCCTTATTAGAAACATAATTAGAAACATTTTCCCAAGTGAACCTTTGAATCTGCTCTAGCAACATACTTTGTGGAAGCATTCTCTTAAAAGAATGTCCATCTCTGGCAATTTAAATATGAAGCTTGATTATTTAAGGCGAAGGAAGGTTTATGGAAAACTGCTTTCTTTATTTTCTCATTTCTCTACAGTGCAATCCTTTACCTGAATGAAGACTTCCAAGGGGGAAATCTCTTCTTCACTGAGATGGATGCTGTAACCCTTACAGTGAGTCTGCCTCAAGCCTTGGCTATGGGATTAGGAGAGAAGGAAGGACAACTGCAATTGAATTCGCAGTATTTGCCCCTAACAAACTGAGCAATCAGGCAAATTCAGGCAAATTTTATGTTGGAAGATACATTAACTTCCTCCGTACTGGGCTTGAGCAATTCTCGTCTTGTCTCCAAAACAAGAAAATGTAAATCTATAGTATAACTGACAGTCATCGTATGACCTCGAGAGAATTCTATGGCAAGGAAGGGGAGAACTGTTGATTTATCATTTCCCCCCCCCCTCTTTTTGGCAGGCTCAAGTGCGCCCTAAATGCGGGAGGCTGGTGGCCTTCAGCTCTGGTGAAGATAATCCTCATGGAGTGTGGGCTGTGACCCGTGGGAGGCGCTGCGCTATCGCCCTCTGGTATACCCTTTCTCAAGAGCATGCGGAGCAGGTAACCAAGCAAAGAAGAGGGAAAAGGGGTGGAAACGGACCCAAGTCCATAGGCAAAATAAAAAGTAAGGGCTGCCAATAAGGCTACTGCGAGGAAGTGTAAGAACAGAATCACTGGATAAATTTCCAAGTGTCTTGATTTGAAATTACATTACTTCTCATACAAATATTGAGAATAGGCGATAGTAAGAAGAAGACCAACAAATGGCAAAGTGCTTTTCTAACAGGTTCCTCCATTCTTTTTCCACTTCCTATGTTCTTTCTGATTGTAGGAACGGGGTCAAGCAGAAAAGCTGATGAGACAGAAAGAGGCAGAACAGGAACAGTCACATGAAGACGACACAAAGGATAGCAGTTTTGTACCTAAAAGTGGGGATTCACCAGAGCCTCCTACTCCAAAGGGAAGAGCTAGATCCACAAGCCGAAATATTAAATTGGACTCTAAGTCTGGAGTGAAGTCCAGGAGGCTGAGAGTCAGAGATGAATTCTGATCACATTCAGTGCAACCTGGTCTTTTGCAGCTACTCTTAAGTGACTTGTACAAGTGGCCAGCCTGAGAACTTTTGCAACTCCTGAGTTAAAGAGTTGCTTCTTTATGACACACAAAGTATGGATCAGAGAGTGATACTCCTGGACTTCAGCTACTACTTAAACCCGAATATAATGATGTCCCAGTAAAGATGCCAAGCTTGTAAACTAATGTAACATTATGGCTAAAACAAACTGAGACGCAAATCTTCTGTTCAGATCAGCCATATTCACAGAGGGCACTAGCCCCTCTCATTCAGAAGCCTTCATCTACAATACAGACACAGTTAATACAGATCTACCTAGATTGCAGGGCTCTTCTGAGAGGAACAGGGATAATATAAAATGTACTTGTATTACTTTTAAAGTGTATATTAAATTTAAATACCTTCCTTCCAGCTTTCCTCCACCTCCACGTTTGAAGGAATCAAAATTGGGAAAATAATAATATTAATTTGTGTGAACTTTGGGATGGGATGCATGAAAACAGACAAGCCATACATTTAAAAATGTTTTTAATTGTTTGTTATTATTTTTAATCATGGGGCCAAATTTATATATATCTTTTTAATTGTATTTTAATGTTTGTAGTTTATGTTTTTACTTGGCTGTTCACCGCCCTGAGTCCTCAGGGAGAAGGGCGATATACAAATTAAATAAATAAATACATACATACATACATACATACATACATACATACATACATACATACTAGACATCTGGATTACAAAAAGGGAAATGTACAGTTAAAGAACCCAGGGTGATCCAATTATTATCCAAGAAAGCACAGAAAAACAGGTGAAATGGATAGCTCAACAGACTAAAAGCCTGTTATTAACATTCAGCTGTCTGCAATTATTGCATGTTCAAATCTCCCCAGGCTCAAGGTTGACTCAGCCTTCCATCCTTTCTAAGGTAGGTAAATTGAGGACCCAGTTTGTGGGGGCAATAAGCTGACTTTGTAAAAAATATACAAAAGTATGAAGGCTTAACGCATTGTAAGCCGCCCTGAGTCTCCGGAGAAGGGTGGCATATAAATCTAATTAAAAAAAACAAAAAACAATGTTAAGAAACAGAATTACTACGAATTCTTTATTCAAGCAATGTATTCCAAAACAGATTCATACTTAGGTTCTAGATCAGGGGTGTCAAACTCAATTTTATTGAGGGCCACATCAGGGTTGTGTTTGACCTCAGAGGCCAGGGTGGGCGTGGCCAGCTTGACAATTCTTGTGTCGGCGTCTGTGGTGACCTGAGCACTCTGCCAGGGAAAATGGGCTTTCAACCTCCGTTTTCAGCTGTTATGCCCTCTGCCAGTGAAAACAAAGCTCAGGGAGGCCGCCCTTCACTGGCTCCATTTTCACTGGCAGAGGGCGGTAGGAGGCCGTCGCAGCCAAAAACAGAGCCTGGGAGGGCTGCATGTGGCCCTCCCGAACTCCATTTTCACTGGCAGAGGCACCACGGGCCGGTCCTTTGCTGTTTCTAGGGTGGCCCCACAGGCCAGATCTAAGCACCCCGCAGGCCGGATCTGGCCCCCAGGCCTTGAGTTTGACAACCCCGTTCTAGATAGTCTAATAATATGCTTTTTAAAACCTTTTTTCTTAGAAGGTAGAATTCAGCACCCAGTACTATATTCTTTTCTTTTTTCCTGCAATTGCTTGGGTTAATAGAAAGTAACAGAAACACAGACTCCAGAAATTTGGATATATTTGCATTGTTCAGTTTTTATTTTGGAAGTAGATGTTTTTTTTTTCCCCAAAGAATGTTTTTTTTTTTAAGTCAAAAAGTAAATAGGATGCAAGTGAAACTCAGGTCAAAGTAAATATTTTGAAAGGAGCAACAGTGAAACTCTGGGAAGTAGTGGTCTGGATCAGAGGTACAGCAGGTTGGAGATGATACTTTATCTTTTCCAGCTATTTTTTCTTTGCATTTTCCATTGAAACTAATTGACTTCTGTGATGAAAAACATGCAGCTGGCAACACAGCAGAGAGTGAGGAATTGGGAAGATTGGCGGTGGAGGTGAGAGAAAGGTTGAGAAGAAGAGAGTTAAGGATCTCACACCACTCCTGCCATTTTTCTATTATAATATTCCCTAGCCTGCCATTTCAGGCGACTGGTGAACCAGTTCCCAGATCCAGGCTTGCTTCTGAACAGCTGATCTCACTAAGTTTTAAAAGAAAAATTCGGTAGGAATAAGAGTGAGGGGCAGAAAGTAGGGAGGAAGCAAACCCACAGTTTATTTGTTAATTTATTTGCCACCCATCTTACTGTGGGGGATTAATGACCATGGAATAGAAACACTGAATACCTGTAAGGTAGGGACATCAGAGTACTGATCAGCAAAACTTCTTTAGAAAAAAGAGCTTGCTTGTTTCAGATGCCACTGTAAGGAAGACAGTGGCATGACTGGAAGATCCTGATGCTTTGAGCAGTTTAAAGAGCAAATGGCAAAATCATGAGTAATAATAATCAAATATAAAATTAATTAAAATGTATAAAACATCTAGTAGATATAGAAGAATGAATAGTTCTGTCATTTGTATTGAACTGAAGTGGTTTGGCATTTTTTCCTTGCTATAATGTATGTTTTTTGAAACAGCACAAAAGTGTTTAAAGATTGCAAAAACAATATAAATGTACAGATCCCCTGCACACTATTTTTACACTGAAAAATTATAATAGGTAGTCTTTCAGTTATGACCATAATAGAGTCTACCCATTACAGTTGTAAGTCACGATGGTCATAAATCAGGTCACCCATATCGCCAACCCAATTTTGTGACCCTTTTTGCAATGGTTGTTAAGTGAATCAATAGTTCGTTACAGACTGGTTTTGCCAAAAACCAGAAGTAAATGCCAATTTTCAGCAGAACCATCATAAAACAAGGTCAGGCAACTGCAGGATGCTACAAACAGCTATTAATATGGGCCTGTTGCCCAGCACCTGAAATGTGGTCACATGACCATGGGCATGAAGGGAGGGAACCTCGAATATTGGTTGTAAGTACTCCCCAGGGATGTCCATTGTAACTTTGAACAGTTGCTAAGCAATTGATCGTAAGTCAAGGACTACCTGTATTGGTCTGTGGCAGTAGATATAATGGCTATGTTTCTGTAATGTGCTTAGTTACTGAACTGACCTATTTTTTTAAGTTCAGAAAATATATTGAACACATAACATACAAAGGAATTTTCCCCATTATTTAGTTGAAGTTATCTCCACCCATGTTTGAATGGCAGGTAAACTGGGCTATAATGGATTGGTTATCCCTGTAGCCTATCTTGCTTCTATTGCTTCTATTGCTTCTGTTCCAGATGTTGCAATCCCTCTGACTTAAACACACCCAAGTCTCAAAGATTTAATCCAGTTTCAAAGCTATCCTTGGAATGTGTCAAAATAAGGTGGAAAATACTGTCAAACCAAGAAGAGGTAAAGATGACTTAAGACTCACTCAAAGGGTTGGGACAAGAAGAAGGCAACATCAAAGGTATACATTAGAAAAAAGATGTTGCCAGGGCATGTTTGTGTCATTTTTAGATACAAATGGAGAAGGACCCTAAATCATATGAAAACTCTGCAAGGGTAAACTATCAGGCTCCAAAGGTAGGAATACAGATGCCAGGTTGGTGAATAAACTGGTGGACACCATAGAGGCTTATGCAGGTGGTGTGTTCTCGAGCAGACGATGAATTACAGAGGTGGATTATAACGGTAAGTATTTATTTACCTCACAGCTACAGCTCTAACACAATTCAGAAGAAGTACAATACGAAGAACCTCGAACTCAGCCTGACAGCTCTTTTCATACCAACTGTCAGACGGCTTAACCAATAGGAACATCCAACGTTACAAAGGATCCCAACAGTGGCCAATTCTCTTGAGCATGCTCAGAACACAACACCCCTTTCCCCTGGAATGGTGCATGCATAATCCTCGAGGTATGCGGGTCGATGTTGGAGACGCCCTGAGCGCCTCGGGCTCGCCCTAGGCAAGTGTTCTGGCTGGACAGGGACATTCCTACCCCTAGGACTTTCCACAGACCGATCTTCAACTGGATCAACATGCGCCGGCCCTGGACTGTCTTCCTGTATCCTGGGTGAGTATTCTTGAACTGTCCCTCTGCTACTGGTAGGTGTTGGATTGCACGGTTCGTTATTCCGATCGGGAGAATGGGTGTCCCCAAACCCCGGCTCAACCCTATCCATACCCCTGTCCGTCTGTTCACTAAGCTCGGTAGGCGGCACCTTCCTAGCCCTGATTTGATCCTGGTGCCGACGCCAGACTCTACCTTGACCCATATCTATTTTATAAGAACACAGCCCGGTTACATCTATCACCCGTCCGGGAATCCACAACGGGGAACCCCCATAATTCCTGGCATAAACTGAATCCCCCACCCCGAAGGGTCTGGTTGTACTATGGGAGTCCAGAGGTTTACTAGGGGCATATAGAGGATGCAAACGATCCAAAACGGTCTGTAAACGCCGGCCCATAAGTAACTCTGCGGGGCTCCGGTTCGTGACCGGGCAGAGTGTCGTGTGCTGCACTATCATATACTCAACCAAACGCTCCGGTCACGCACCCGGGTCCATACGGCCAAGCGTGTCCTTTGCTGAGCGAACAGCCCTTTCCGCAAGGCCGTTAGTCGCTGGGTGGTAAGGCGAGATGAGGCAATGCCGAATGCCCAGCCTTGCCAGGAACAGCTCGAACACTGATGCCATCAGTTGAGGACCATTATCCGACACCAGAAGGTCAGGCAACCCATGTGTGGCAAAAAGTGCGCGCAAAACCCTTATGACAGCGTCGGATGTGGTGGAGTGTATTAGCACCAATTCCACCCATTTTGAATACGCATCTACGACCACTAAGAACATCTGCCCATGGAAAGGGCCAGCAAAATCTAAATGTATGCGGGACCACGGACCCATAGGCTTCTCCCACTCATGGGCTTTTTCTTTAGGGGGCAGTTAGTTTACTTTAGTTTATTTGATTTGTATACCGCCCTACTCCCGAAGGACTCAGGGCGGTGAACAGCCAAACAATAAAATACATAAATACAAAAAATTTAAAAACCAGATAAAATCAAATTAAATCATTTTGGCCCGGACAAATTAAAACACTCCAATAATTTAAAAACAGATTAAAATTTACATATTAAAAGAGGGAGGAGATTAGGCCAAGCCCGCTTGATGGAATAAAAAGGTCTTCACAGCGCAGCGGAAGGTGCGCAGATCCGGGATCCTCCGTATCTCTGGGGGGAGCTCATTCCAGATGGTAGGTGCCCCCACAGAGAAGGCTCTCCCCCTAGGGGTCGCCAGCCGACACTGTTTGGCTGACGGCACCCGGAGGAGTCCCTCTCTATGAGAGCGTACTAGCCGGTGGGAGGCTATTGGTGGTAGTAGGCGGTCCTGTAGATAACCAGGTCCTAAGCCATGGAGTGCTTTAAAGGTGGTAACCAAAACCTTGAAGCGCACCTGGAAGACCACTGGGAGCCAGTGCAGCTCACGCAGGAGAGGTGTCACATGGGAGCGCCATGATGCTCCCATTACCACCCGCGCAGCCGCACTCTGCGCCAGTTGGAGCCTCCAGGTGCTCCTCAAGAGGAGCCCCATGTAGAGAGAATTACAATAGTCCAGGCAGGAGGTGACGAGGGCATGAGTGACCGTGCGTAACGAGTCCCGATCCAGAAAGGGATGCAACTGGCGAATCAGGCGAACCTGATAAAAAATCCTCCCGGTCACGGCCATCAAGTGCTCTTCTAAAGACAGCCGTGAATCCAGGAGGACGCCCAAGTTGCGAGCCCTCTCCGTGGGGGCCAATGATTCGCCCCCAATAGTCAGTGATGGCATCAACTGACTATATCGGGACATCGGAAACCACAGCCACTTGGTCTTGGATGGGTTGAGCCTGAGCCTGTTCCTCCCCATCCAGATCCATACGGCCTCCAGGCACCGGGACATCACTTCAAGGGCATTGTTGGGGTGATCCGGGGTGGAGATGTACAGCTGGGTGTCGTCAGCGTACTGATGGTACTCCACCCCGAAACCACGGATGATCTTGCCCAGCGGCTTCACATAAATGTTGAACAGGAGAGGCAAGAGGACCGACCCTTGCGGCACTCCACCTATGAGGGGCCTCGGGGTCGACCTCTGTCCCCCTGTCAACACAGACTGCGACCGGTCAGAGAGAAAGGAGGAGAACCACCACAACACAGTGCCTCCCACCCCTAACTCTTCCAACTGGTGCAGCATGATACTATGGTTGATGGTATCAAAAGCCGCTGAGAGATCTAACAGGACAAGGACAGAGGAGCACCCCCTGTCCCAAGCCCTCCAGAGATCATCAACCAATGCAACCAATGCCGTTTCCGTGCTGTGCCCGGGCCTGAAGCCCGACTGGAACGGATCCAGATACATCGTTTCATCCAGGTGCTGGGGGAGCTGTTGCGCGACCACACTCTCAACAACCTTCGCCACAAAACGAAGGTTGGAGACCGGATGATAATTTACCAACATTGCCGGGTCCAGGGAAGGCTTCTTGAGGAGAGGCCTCACCACCACCTCTTTCAAGGCGGCAGGAAAGACACCCTCACCCAACGAAGTATTTATAATCCCCTGGAACCAGCCTCGTGTCACCTCCCGAGAAGCCAGCACTAACCAGGAGGGACACGGGTCCAATAAACAAGTGGTCACGTTCAGTCTACCCAGAATCCTGTCCACGTCCTCAGGGGTCACAGGATCAAACTCATCCCAGATAACATTCTCAAGACCTGCCCCAGTCCCTCCCCCTGAGACTACCCAGTCGGAGTCCAGATCTTCCCGAATCTGAGTGATTTTGTCATACAGATATTGAACAAAATCCTCGGCTCTACCCTCCAAGGGGTCCTCCCGCACTTCCTGGTGGAGCAGGGAGCAGGTCACCCTAAACAGGGTGGCCAGGCGATTATCTGATGATGCAATAAGAGCAGCAAAGTAGCTACATTTCTCTGCTTTTATCACCACTAGGTAATTCCTAATATGAGATCTTACCAGTGTCCGGTCAGATTCAGAATGACTGGCCCTCCAACTACTCTCTAGGCATCTTTTCTGGCGCTTCAACTCCCTCAGCTCCTCAGTGAACCAAGGAGCTAAATGAGATCGGCACCAGGTCAGAGGCCGCAAAGGCATGACCCGGTCCAGAGCTCCAGTGGCCGCCCTATCCCAGGTGGCCACTAGGTCTCCAGTCGAGGCGTGTGCCAGAGCCTCAGGGAATGGCCCAAGCTCCATCTGGAACCTGTCAGGTTCCATCAGGCACCTGGGGCGGAACCATCTTACCGGCTCCGCCTCCCTGCGGCAGGGTGTAGCGGTTCGAAGGTCGAGACGAAGGAGAGAGTGATCAGACCATGACAAGGGCTCGGTGACTATATCCCCTATCTCGAGATCACTCAACCACTGTCCAGAGACAAAAACCAGATCCAGCGTGTTTCCCCCCGTGTGGGTAGGGCCATGAATTAACTGGGTCAGGTCCATAGCTGTCATGGAAGCCATGAACTCCCGAGCCACCTCAGA